TGTCTCTACCAAGGCCAGCCCGAGAAGAAGGGAGTCGTCACAGTCGAAATGGCAGCAAGTGAGAACCCGCTGCTACAAGAAGCCGAAGCCCGAGATGCCATGCTGGTATCTACAGGATCCGGCAAAGTCCGCTTCTACATGTACACCAACGACTCAACCGTCTCCAAGTCCGTCCGTGACGTGCAAAACGAAAAGCCACGCACCGCAAACACGAACAAGAAGAACGACGAAAAAGCTCTCGCAGCAACCGGCACAACAGCTACCCTGCACACGACGTATGGCGACATCACCATCCGCCTCTTCCCCGACGCGGCCCCGAAAGCCGTGGAGAACTTTGTCACTCACGCCCGCAACGGCTACTACAACAACGTCATTTTCCACCGCGTCATCCGCAAATTCATGATCCAAACGGGTGATCCCCTAGGCGACGGCACGGGCGGCGAAAGCATCTGGGGCAAGGAATTCGCGGACGAGTTTTCAAACCTCAAGCACGACAAGCCGTATACGGTCAGCATGGCGAATGCGGGTCCCAATTCAAACGGAAGTCAGTTTTTTATTACAACTGAGAAGACGGTAAGTTTTGTTTCTATCTCTCTCTCTCTCTGTCCCCCTTCACCCCCCGATACGTGTTTGAAGAGTGTGATGAAATACAGAAAGCTAATTGTGTAAAATATAGCCGTGGCTCGATAACAAGCATACAATTTTTGGGCGCGCAATCGCAGGCATGGATGTAGTGCATAAGATTGAGAATACAAAAGTGTACAAGGAGAAGCCCGAGGAGGATATCAAGATTATTAATATTTCGGTTTCTTGATCGAGTTAAACCAAAGGGACGCTGGGGGAGACAAAAAAAAGTTAAACAGTTCTTGTAAAGAATCTTGACGAGAGAATGAAGATGATACGTAAAACAAAAGTTTCAAGTTCTCTCGCTTATTCTCATTCTGCAACGAGCAAAATATCGATACGTGGCATAACTATATATATATACTCTGGAAAACCCGATCCATGTCCATAGGGAGATGAGGGGAGAGGAGGGGTTTTTTGCACAAGAAGACGAAATGAAAGTCAAGTGAACAAAGAAGTCATCATAAAATCGCTTTCACCACCCAAATTCAAAATTGTCTATTAAATATCCAAATTCGACACCAAAATGCAAGTTTGCCTTTCTCCGTCTCTCTGTCACTCTTCGAAAATAAATCCCCCCCCCCCCCAATCATGCCCGAACAAAAAGAAAAAGAAAAAAACGCCCGCAAGATATATGGACCCACAGATACATAGTCGACCAGTTTGAACAAGAGAGAAGAAAGAAGTAAGAAGCAAAAAACGCTTTCAGCACAATTTGGCTGTCGAAAGATATGAAAACCAAAAGAAGAACAAGAATGAAACAAAAAATATCTGGTATCATATTCATACGCCCCAAGCGCCGCCCTCTCCCATATTGGCGCCTTTGAAGCAAAAAAACCCATCAGGAAAAAAAACGCACTTTGGTATGTGCAAGCAAGCCATGAGTGAAGATTCCGCTCAAACATGAGCAACAAGAAGTAGAGCCAAAAAGGAAGCAATGAAGCGTCTCATGTAGAAGTTGTGGAAGCGCCGAACCGATGCAATGCTAGATGGAACGTTGGGACCTGACGTGATATATATGTGTGTATGTGCTTTGTGCTTGTGCAATTTCTTTGTTGCACTCACTTTGCCGCCGCTGGTGAAGGCGAGTTGCGGCCGACAGGGTGAGGCGAAGGAGCACCGGTGATTGAAGAACGCTTTTGGGTTTTGAGAGCATCGAGCTTCTTTTTGAGCGCCTTTTGGCGGCTCTTCATTTGTTCGAGAACTAGAAGAAGTTAGTTGGGTGGTTATCAATAATCATGATTGGGAAAGACACGTACGCTTTTGTATTGACCTTCGGTCTTCACCGTCGAGACCATTGATTTCCTCTGCGTCGGATTTGTGACCTGGTACGTCTTCTTCCTCCTCGAGGACGGCTTGAAGCATAGTGATCGCAGTCCAATAGTTGATGTCGCAATCGGCCAGGTTATGACCTGTGAGCTCGTCGATGGCTGCTTGACGGCTCATCTCAAGAGAACGGTCGTACAGTAGCTTTTCGGCAGTAACCCCAGTGGTAAGCAGGATGTTCTCAGCAGAACCCACGGCAGTAGCTGAGCCTGACGCTGCGGACTGGTTCTGAGGATGGCTGGGGTGGTCAGGTGGCAATTGCTGCTGTGCTTGCTTAAGCTTGCGAGCAACAATTTCTGATTTGACACAGCACTCGTTGAAGCGATCTCGCATCCAAGAAACGACCTGGCCGAGCTTGGCGTTTGTACGACTAGTTCCTTCAAGCCCGCTATGGCGACGAGTCCGATTCCAGTAGCTTCCAGTGAGATCCATGGCCTTGTTTAGCATCGCGAGTGTCTTAACGAACAAGACCAGGGCTTCCTCCGAGATGAGGAGAATAGTGTCAGGCGTCAGATCTTCATCGTCTTCGTCGTATTCGATGACATCGTTGCTTGGCTTGCGAGCAACACCTGTGGACCCGTCACCCAAGGCTGGGTCACTTGGTGCAACAGGGACTAGTTGACTGTACTTGACTTCGGCAAAACCATAAACAACGTGGCTGAGTTGTGCCAGATCCTCGATCCTTCGAACTGTGAGTGAGTCCTCATCTTTGCTGACCATCTTGCCCCCATCACCAACAAGTAGTATACTGCTTTGCGCGGTGGGGTATGCTGGGAATGCCGAGTATCCCTGGGGCGGCGGCGACACGCCTTTCATGATGGGTGGTGAAAGGCCAAGTCCTCGGATGTTGACCATGTTCATGGCCTTGGATAGAGCAGAAGTTGCTGTTTCAAAGCTGGGCCGGTATTGTCGTCGACTGTATGAGCCAGTGCGTTGATGTGTGATTGTGGGTTTTTGCTGGATCTGGATAGCTTTTGAAGGCACTGCGCCAGTAGTCGATGTGGGAGAGCCTTGTGTTGTCGACCGTCGTTTGATTGGGGTATCCCTATACATTGGTCGATCTTGCTGTGTTTGTGGGCTGTTGGCAATTTCGTCTGCGAGAGCGTCAATCTCTACACGACGCTTCTCCACAAACACGAAACCCTCGTCTAAAGCGTTGTCCTGTGCAGCTCGCTCAGCCGCCTCTCGTAGGACTTCAGCTCTTTGCGGAATACGCTCACGGTCAAGATGCTCTTTCAAACCGACAGGTGGCGGTGTTGGTTCATCGCGAGAGTATCTACGTCTGTGACTAAGTGCGGCACCCTGGTCTTGCAGGGTTGTGGTGCGTGCTGGTGCCGTTGCAGCATTGCCAAGAGGTGGGCGTCGATGGTCGCGGTAAGATGCGCGCTCCTCACTAGGATCGACTGGCGTAATGCTGGGCCTTCGGGCAGAAGCCGGTATCGGCGGGGTGTTTGAGTAGTTTCCAGAAACTGGTCTAGAGCTTGGCCGCGAAGAAGGCCTGTTCCTGGGCGATGAACCATACGGGCTATCCGAGGCTGGGCGATCCATCTCGGCAGGCGCTTTCTGAGCTTGTCTAGGTTGCTCAATAAGCGGCTCCAACGCAGAGGTTTGGAGGCGTTCAGAAGCCTGCATGGATCCAGGCAAATCCTCGTCCACCATTCCGGGGATCTCGTCGCGAATGACAGTGTCTGCAAAGAAGGATTCATAAGACATGCGTTCGGTTGGCTTCCGCTTGAGCAAGGCGCGAATCAGGTTCTTCATAGCGCGGGTGCAAACAAGGCCTTCTGGGAACCGAACCTGGTCCTTGCGTTCTTCAATCTTGCGCAGCAGCTCGACGTGGTTGTTGGCCCTGAAAGGAGGACGAGCGCACATCATCTCAAACAGCACGGTACCTACAGACCACAGATCAGCTTTTGCGTCGTACTTTTCATATCGCAGAATCTCGGGAGCCATGTAGAGCGGAGAGCCACATAGCGTTTCCGCCAGCGATGTTGTCGGCAGAATCCTAGCAAAGCCGAAATCAGCAATCTTGAGCATTGGCAGAGAGGCGATTCCAGTGGCAGGTATCAGAGAGTTCGCGCTAGCGGCGAGAGGCATTCGTTCGAGAGTTCCGCTTTGCGAGTAGAACATGGAGGAGGGATTCAAAAGCAGGTTCTGTGGTTTTAAATCACGATGAATGTAATTCTTGGACCTTAAAAACTCCAGGGCACTCGCCATCTGCTTGGCAAAGTGTCGGACAACCACCTCATTCAGACCCCCGACAGCGGGATTGGGGTACTTTTCTATCATGCGCTGCGTCTGGGGGTGGTTGACCAGATCGGTGCGCTTCTTGATGAAGGCCGACAGGTCTCCAAGCTCGCAGAACTCCATGATGATGTGCATGCGCGAGGGCGCTTCTTGACAGTCAATGAGCGATACTATGTGGGGGTGGTGGAGGCTGCGGAGGATGGTGATTTCGGAGACAAGGTTGTCCTTGAGCTTCTTGTTGAGCTTGTTCATGTTGACCGACTTGATGGCGACCGATTGGCGCTTTTCCTGTTTACGGTCGTCTGGTTAGCGACGGATGCCTATGTCTAAGCACAGAGAGGGGAAGAGCAGCAGAAACAGCAGCAACGTACAATGTGAATTCCACGGTAGACTTCGGCGAAGCTGCCCTTGCCAATGTGGTGCAGGCGCTTGAACTTGCCAATGATCTGCTCTGAGCCTGGGGCAGCAGATGAGGATGGGGATGCCCCCGAGCGGCGGGGGGCATGGGAGCTTGGTGAAGCCATGGCGGCACGGGGTGTGCTGCCTGGCTCGGCGTCGATGGTGGGTGTGTTTGTACTACGGGTGGTAGTGGTGATGGTGGTGGTTGATGTAGTGGTGGAGGAGGAGGTGGTGGTGGTGGTGGTGAGATGGGTTGTTGTTAGGTGTGGGGTGGTTGGGAAGCGGCTACCAGCGCAGATGCAGGTACAGGGTAGGCGTGAGCGAGTTGTACATGAGCTGTTGGGGGGTAGCGGGGCAGTGGTTGTGTTGTCGGGACGCGGAGGTGTTGTTGGCTGTATGCGGTGCTATCGATAGTGGTGACGGGGACGCGAGGCGAGACGCAGGGTGGCGGCGAGACGTTGGCGCGAGGTCCGAGGGTTATGGGCAATGCACGGCGACGGGGATGGTGAAAGCGACAGCGACAGCGACAGCGACAGCGACAGTAGGGAAGAGGAGGAGTGGGTAGAGAGAGGGCAGTGAGCAGTCGAGTGGCTTGGGAGGTTTAGGTAGACAGACGGTCGAGTGGAGGGTCCCCCAGGCTCGACTCGCAGTCATGGGGCAGGGCTTAGCGCGCCGCTAGCGCTGCCTTGATAGGACTGATAACGACGCGTGCGAGACGAGGCGCCTCTATGGCTGCAGCGACAACACGAGCAGCCTATCGCCCATGTCTGGCACACAGCAATGTACTCGTCCACTCTACTGATGCTCGTATGCCCGTGTGGCCCGCCCCGTGGTGCCCTCGTCGAGTCCGCCCTTGGCCGTGAGCACTGCCTTGGCTGGCTGGCAGCAGGCGACAAGAGGGGCCTCATCATGTGGCCGGCGGCATGACCACAGCGCACGCCATTCGCCTGGGGCATGAGCAAGCAGCCTGCCATGTCTGCCATCTGTCGTGCCCAGCCCGAGCAAGTCACTAACGAGCATTACCACCATAGCTTATCGCTCGTCTACTTACTTGCACTACCCGCCGCCCGTCTCATCCCTGCCTCGGCACCGTCAAATGGCCGCCGCTGTGACTTGCAGCTAGTGTCCCAGTTCGCGACGGAGCGCTAGCCAGCCCAGCCGTCTCCAACTGCTACACTATGACGTAGGAGCCCTGCTCTCCTCCTCACCACACACACACACACTGACTGACACCCACTGACACCCACGCTCATGCGCATGCTCACACGCCTGGCTGCTGGGTCGGCAGACTCTTGCAATTCCATATATAGCCCTGTCTCTAGTTGAGCCTCCTTTGCCTCAGCACCGTACCGTACCTGCATGCCACCTGACGCCATACTCCTCAGGCTCCTCACAGCCTGACCCCTCTCACAAGAACCCACAGCACCACTGGCACAATCACGTTGTCGTTGCCGCCTGTGAGCACCGCCTCGTTCAAGCTCGCTCCTGCTGCGCAAATACTGGCTTTTCCCATCGTCATCGCTGCCTCCCTCACCCAGCTCCCCACTGTCTTTGGCACCATCTGACCACTCCCCCATCCAAAGTACAGCCATGCCTTGCCAAACACAAGCCCAACAGTCACCGCAACCGCAAAGGCCAGCGAGCCCTCCAGTGACTTGCCACCTGCCCATGGCCATCTGCGACGTCCGTAGCGCCTCCCGATGAGCGAGGCTGCTGCATCTCCCATTCCGACACAAACCACTCCTGACACCATGCTAATGTCTCGGTTCTTGACCCCCCACTCTCGCCATGGCTCCCCCCCACTCCGCTCGACTCCCGCCAGAGATAGCCAGAGCGGAATTGCGCAGCCGATGAGAAGAAAAATGTGCGAAACCACTACTGGTCCACGGAGATCCCGCCCGTCTACATATGGCGTGAGGAATCTAGCAATCGGCTTCGACAGCGGCGGAAGCTGCGAAGCGCGGATCAGATCCAGCAGAATGAAAATGGCCAGTACAAGTGCCAGAGCTAGCGCCACAAAGCATGGGTCGACGTAGATGGTCGGCAGCAGCATGGCCACCATGGTTCCGTGAAACACCTTGCGGCGCGTGTCCACCTCAACAACAGCAGACAGTGAAAACACTGCAACAAGGCCCGCCACAATGGTGCCCATGCAGTACATGCACAGCAACAGTCGTGTGTTGGCTTCGCCTAGCAGCACAAGCCCAACCCTTTCGCCGAGTGCCATGTCCTGTGCCCCTGCTGCCATATCATCCGACATTTCTCTCAACGGCAGCGCTATCCACCAGTCCAGGTTCCACTCAAACACTTTCCATCGCACGCTCGGTAGGTTGCCAAACAGGTAGCTAATCGCCCATCCAAATGGCTCCTGCCCATACAGTGCCCATTTGCTGACGGCATACCGGATTGGGCCCAGTATCAAAATCACAACTACTAGATAAAAGTACACGGCATACAGCCACTTCCGTAGTGTTGCTTGTGCAGGTGTAAGCTCCAGGTATGACTGTGCAATTGATCGGGATCGTTTTCGATGCGAGAATCGATGCGGTGATGCCTGATTTTCAGCAGAAAGAATAGGCAAAGTGTTCCTACGCGTGCGGCCCACGCCAAACGCTTCCTCGCTCTTTCCATTAATCTTGTCAAAAAACTTCTTTGTCGTTTCGGCAGCCGACTGTGGCTCCGCTCTGCCCGTAGACAAGATACCTGCAGTACTGCGTTGAGGTATGTCAATCTTAAGGCCTTCGGTCTTATTTCCAAACATAGCGGCGTCATCATCATCATCTGCATCGCTGTCGCCATTCTTCGCTGCAGAGCCATGTCCATTGCGTCTGGAGCCCAGGCTCTTATTCAATATTTCCAAAAAGCTTTGACGAGCCCGAATTACCTGGCCTGCGCGCCGGAGCCTCCACTGTGGGATGCGTGCGAGCGTAACCCCCCACTTGAGCACCTTGCCGCAGCATACAAATACTCCCAGCCCTCCCATCCAGAGCAGAATGCTAAGTATTATCGCCTGAGGCGAGTCGGAAAATAAAAGTAAGTTGATGAGCCCAATCGACAGCAGGTGCAGCTCCGTTGGCAGAAGGCTCGTTGTAGTGAGGTAGTACAAAGGCGGCAGTAGTGCCTGATGTAGAGGAAACAGACAGACAAGCACTTCTGGATCCAGCCCTTGGTGCGGAGGCGGTAGTTTGAGCTTGTACGGCTTCTCTGCAGTCAGTCTAGATGGTATATCGGTATTTTCAGCCGCGATGAGCGGCAGAATGGAAATTAACCAGTGAAGCGATGAATACCCCAACGGTGAAGGGTTGAAAGGAATAATTCTGGCTGGCAACGCTGCCAGTCCAAGCAGGATATTTGGAAGCAAAGGCTTGGGCGATGAAGCAAAAAGTGAAATGGCGATTAGTACAGGCAGTATTGGCGGGTATAGTATCGTAGCCGGATCGAAAGCTGCCGGTACATGGATCCGCCGGTGAAGTGCAAGATTCGAATGTTTCCCCCAAGAATAATAGAGTAGTCGTAGCGGATATAGACCAAGTAATGTCACTATAATAGTAGTATGCGTGAGCAGTTCTGCTGAAGCCGGTATTAGCCATTGTTCCATTGATATCTTGGTAAATGACGCTGACCTCTGTGCCATGACAGCAGCTCGCTCCAGCACTCGCATCCATGGACGGCAAGAATGCCAATGCCAGCGAGCAAAGCCGTCTCGGTCGCTCGCCTTACCATTTCATTCCGCCGCCGTTGGAGATACTTTTGCTTGGCTGCCCTTGCCTCTTCGTCGAGGTGGTACGCGATCCCTTTTCGCTTCCCCCGATTACCGCCATTGGCGAACTCGTCGGAAAACTTGCTCCCTTCATCGTCGATTTGTGTGGGTGTGAGCAAAGGACTAGCCCATTGCCCGCCTTCCCTGGGCCGCGCATTACGAAGTCCCTTGTGGAGGCGCAGAGGAGGCGCAGGCAGTGCTTTGACTAGGTTGTAGCCTTCGTCGTCTGCCTCGGTGCCGCTTTCGCTGGGTGATTGCGACACTGGTTCTCTGCGCTTTGCACCATTCTTGCCCAGTCTCGCGTCGGCATGACTTGGGGGTTCCAGGCCTAGGCTATGCGCTCTTTCAGGATACTGGCCGCGTATCTCGTCCCCGTGGCGTAGGTATGGGTGTGGTGACCGCCGGAATAGTTCGACATCCTCTATGTCTGTAGGCGCAAGTGCGGGGGCGGCCTGGTCTACTTGTCCTGTGTCTTGCGGCATTGCGCGGGACGCCGTTTCTTCTCCAACACTTGTGTATGCCACCGGTAGTCGAGTGTGCGACTCGGAAGTGCGAGGCAATTGTCGTCAATGCATGGGCAATGGCTACCTGTGGGTGAGCGGCGACAGGAAGCCAGTCTTATGTCGAGCCGTGGCTGAATACAATCGATGGTAGCCGGATGTTCTGGAGAGCAATAGACAGAAGGAGCGAGCGGTTGGAAACGCTGCCAAGTGACGCAAAAAACCAGCAATGGTACTGTCAACAATCATGGGCCGCCAATGCCAGAAGACACAATTATCACATGTTCGGGAGGCCTGGCAAGGCTGACGTTGCAGGTCCACTACGCGTCTTCCGACTCCCGCCTTGGGGGACGTGTGCAAGCCCATCGAGCGCTTGTCTCCTTAGGAGTACATTGCCATCCCCCCTGCACAATCCCACCCCGCAAACCATATGACGCAACACCTAAAATAATCACTATCAATTTATTAGCCTTTGGCAGCCATCACATCACCAGACATCACCTTGCTAAAATAATAATAATAACAATAGACAACCAGGTTTGCAACAAATGTGCTGTCATTTCTTCTTTCTACTGTTATACAGTTACTTTATCTATTTTATTTGAGCTCCGGCTGTCTAGTTGCGCAGGCGTCACAAGGCCCTGCTTGCATCTAGTCCGACAGGCCAATGTGCCAATTACTGCAGGTACTTGTGTTCTTTAAGCCAAGAACTCACATCCTCCGAATCTCGCACAACCCATGCAGCCTTTGCATTGATACTGTCCAGGCTCTGAGAAAGCGCCATATCAAAGCCCTTTGTGCTCTTGTTCTTGAAAAAGGCCTCAATGTCCTCAACGTGCTCACGGTGCGTGAAGCAAGACGTTGTGATAGACACGACGGAGCTGAGCATGCTCAGACTTGGGGGAAGCCTGCGCTCTAGCTCTGCCCAGTTTTCCTTGACCCAATTCCAGAGCGCATGGCATCCTGCTGGATGCGTTCTTAGTGCTCCAATGGGGAGATAGATGTCTTGGCCCTTGACATCGTCACTGAGCGCCATGTCAAGCGTGCGCTTCATGAGCTCTGGTGACTTGGCTCGTCCCAGAGACCGAAGAGCCGAGTTGCGCTCGTCGCTTGTCGCTGCATTTCGAGCCTCGTTCACAATGACATTGTACTATTTTACTAATCAGCATGGAGACACGCAGTAATCAATCTGGTAATGACTTACCTCTTCTTCGCCACCATTGTTCAGTACAATGGCGTACACACTCCCACGAATGTTGGGATGGATGGCGGACTTGTCGCCCGCCTTAAATTTGGCAAACATGTCAAAACAGGCTTTGGTGATCTTCTCGTCACCTGCCATGCCGGCAGCGCCAAACATGAGGCCCTTGAACTGCTGCTGGATATGTCCGTCGTTTTCATTGAACTCCCATCCCAGCTCGTGTGCCTTTTCGGCGCTAAGGTCGAGTTGGAACTTCTTCAGAGCATCCCTAGTCTTTTCATCTTCAAACATCCATGCACCTCGAAGCACTCCAATGCGCGACAAAATCTCTCCCCAAACAACAAATTCCGACTCGTCCTTGAAGCTATCAAGCAACGAGAGGATTCCAGATGTCTTTTGGTACCCAGACGCAGCCAGCGAACCAGCATCAGCAATCATTCCGGCCCTGTCTTCAACAGTAAGAAGTCCCTCTTTCGCGGCAATGCCAAGCTTGTGTAGTCGTTCTGGTGTGTATGAAGTCCGGTACAATCCAGAGTGGTCTGCGTTTAGTTTGAAGAAGTCCATATCCTTGAGCTTGAAGTCGGCCTCGCGATCAAAGAGGGTCAAATCCTCATCAACACCATCCTTGGTCCGAAGTCCAAGGAACACAGGGTACAGAGTCTGGTCCTCTTCGGGTTTGACATCGGCAGTGCGGAGGAAACGGTTCTGTTTGAGATGGATCGAGTCGGTGCCCTCGGTGACGGCGACCACAGGGTAACCGACCTTCTTGGTCCAGATGTCCATGACCTTACCAACATCCTTGCCGCTGGCCTTGGCCAAAGCAGCCCAGAGATCACCCGTCTCCGTGTTGCCGTAAGCATGCTTCTTGAGGTACTGGCGAATGCCTTCCATGAAGGTCTCCTCGCCAACCCACTTGGAAATCATGCGAATGACGCTAGAGCCCTTGGAATACGAAATGGCATCAAAAATCTGATTGATTTCGTCTGCACGCTTCACTGGAATCTCAATAGGGTGGCTGCTGCGCAGAGAGTCGAGGGAGAGTGCGCTTGCGAGATTGTCAGTAACGTAACCCTCCCAGACCTTCCAATCAGGGTAGAAGACGTTGCAGGAATACCACGACATCCATGTCGCAAATCCCTCGTTGAGCCACAGGCCATCCCAAAAGTCCATGGTGACAAGATTGCCGAACCACTGATGCGCGAGTTCGTGTTGCACGGTCTCGGCTACGCGTTGCTTGGTGGCGGCGCCACTGACCTTTTCGTCAATGAGCACATCGACCACACGGTAGGTGATAAGACCCCAGTTCTCCATAGCGCCAGCACTGAAGTCTGGAATGGCTACCATGTCCATCTTGGGAAGGGGGAAGGCGCTGTCAAAGGTCTTTTCGTAGAAATCTAGCGTCTTTGCTGCCAGCTCAAGGGAGAAGCGGCCGTGCTCGATGTCTCTGTCCTTTGGTGCATATACTCGTACCGGGACGCGGAAACTGTTGGTCTCAATGTAGTTGAGTTCTCCAATAATGAAGCACAGAAGGTATGTCGACATGAGTGGCGTGGGGTTGAAGGTAACGGCCTTGCGCTTTCCGCCTGAAATGGCACTGTCAACTTGCTTCTCCGAAGCCACGTCCATGTTGCTTAAGCATGTCATTTTCTCGTCGGCGACAAGTGTCACTGTGAATTTGGCCTTGAGGGCCGGCTCGTCGAAGCAGGGGAATGCACGCCTAGCATCGGTGGGCTCCATCTGGGTTGTGGCCATGTATGTGGTGGAGCCGTCCTCCGCCTTGAACGAGGAACGGTAGAAACCAGCCATGTTGTCATTGAGGATGCCCGAGAAGGTCATGGTGAGCTGGGCCTTGCCACCGCGGGGGATGGTTTGGTCGAAGCTGACCTTTGTTGTTTGTGCCTCGTCATCGGTGCTGACATTGGGTGCCTCTGAGATGACCTGCTGGCCGGCTGTGATCTTGGTGGAGTGGATCTTGAGTTCGTTGGTGTTGAGGGTTACGGATGTGGTGTCGTCGACGACGTCCAGACTGTGGCGTGTCAGCGGGCGGGCGCATGGGTTGCAATTAGAGGTAGGGCATACTCAATTGTCACGGTACCGGTGTAGGTGAACTTATCAAAGTCTGGCTCCAAGGTCAAGTCGTAGTGCACAGGCTTGACATTGGTGGGCAGCACCTCGCGACCCTTGGAGACGTCCATGGCGGAGTGGTCGTCGACTCCAAAGTGTCTGCACATGTTTCTTCGGTGCGAGCAATAACGGACGGGGGGAGCAAGAGAGAGGGGGGAAGGGGGAGGGGGCGATGTGCGAGAGGGCGCGTGTTGTAGTCGTAGTGGTAGCTGTAGCTGGGCGCGGGCAGCGGGGTAGTATCGAGAGCTTGTCGTGGGGCTCGAGAGCGTGTGCAGCTGTGGACTGCGGTGAGCGCTCAGCCGGCTGCGCGAGGCGGTGATGGCCTGCCGCGATAGCACCACACGCCCGCATTGCAGGGCAGAAGCGCCATTCTGCTTGAAGCGCCGCATCTGACCCAACCGCTACAGTCGATGAGGGCGTGCTGCGGTGAGAAGGCGCTCGTTGCAATTGGCCAGGCGAGGTTTGGTAGGGCAGAGAGGGCTTGCGACTGCACACGCCGCTAAGCTGCCCCAGTGTTTGTGCCAGTGTGCGTGTGTGGCCTAGTACAAATACTTACTATCCCGCCGCCGCCGCTTTCTTTTTTTCTCTTCTCAAACATCGCAAGGAAGTCCTCCCAGCCATCTCCCTCTCTGCAGAGACGCTGTGTGTTCTGGCAACATTGCCAGTCCTTGCTAGAGAAAACACTAGCCCTCGTTTGAGCCCTTCTACAACCACCCCATGAGTGGAAGGGTATAGAAGTAGCGCTACATGCAAAATGTCTTTGGCAGATCAGATGATTGAACCCACGACATGCCCCCCATTGCCAGACGCAGCTGCTGCACTGATGATGATGATGATGATGCAGTGCGTGCAGTTGCTTTGCTTCTTTCTTGTGTCGCAGTCCCCGTGCCCCCAAGCTGCATATTTGACTGATGAGTTGATGTCATGCTCTCTCACTCACACGTACTTGTGCTGGCCAAACTTGCGCGTGCTAGGCGTTTTCCATATAAAGTCATGTGACGTATACTGTATTTCAGCCAGGAGGTTGTCGGCACCACGGACAAACATGTGCCCTCGACTGGCCTCAAAGACGCAATTGGAAGAAATGCACGCCTGGCCATTGACTGTCGTGAAGGTGCCCAAGTGTTGCTCGCACTCGCAATATACAGATCATACATCGCCGAAAGCCGCGGGCGCGGGCCAATCACAGCGCCCGTCGACTTGATTAGGTCTCGCCAAGCCTCGAGCGAAGAAGTTGCGACCAAACAGCCCTCCTTCACCACTATCACCAACGCCGACAACCCCCATTGATCCACTTCCCCTCTCGCTCCGAGCCGGCTTCACATAACCATGTTGGCTCGCTCAGCACTGCGTACGGCACGCACCGCCGGCGCCGCGACCCGCAATGCCACCAGCAGACCAGCTTCGGTACGCCTCCCACACGGCCCAGTTCCCGCAAACGGCTCCCGCGAGCTTCATCAACGCCATCTCTGGCATCATACTCGGGCCTGGGCCTTCTTCTGTTGCAATTGAATGTCTGGCTGACGGATTGGGTGATCACAGCGCTTTGCCTCGACATCGGCCTCTGCCGAGGGAGCTGCCTCCGCATGGAAGAACAACGCCCTCCCCGCCGGTGCCACCATCTTCGCCGTCGGCTCCACTGCCTGGTACTGGCATCTCTACGGACGCGATGTCGATGCCATGACTCCCGCTGAAGAAGGGTGAGTGTGCCAACTCACTAATTGCTCTCTAGCCGAGACATGGATGGAATGACGTCCACGCCTACGGCGGCAGCAATAACAACAGCAAAGAGAAGATGCAAAGGACAATAAGGAAAAAAAGAAGCTGACTGTGGAATTGATAGTCTGCACCCTACCCAGTACCCATGGGAGCACGAAAAGTGGTACAAGACGTTCGATCACGCTGCGTACGTCTTCCCCGAATGATACTCGCATACTCGTCCTAACATGCCAAATAGCCTCCGTCGTGGATTCCAGGTCTACCGTGAGGTCTGCGCATCCTGCCACTCCATCTCTCGTGTCCCTTACCGAGCTCTCGTTGGCAAGTTCATGACTGTCGATGAGGCCAAGGCCCTTGCCGAGGAGAACGAATACGACACTGAGCCCAACGACCAGGGCGAGATCGAGAAGCGCCCCGGAAAGCTCTCTGACTACATGCCCGCACCTTACAAGAACGATGAGGCTGCTCGTGCTGCCAACAACGGTGCACTGCCCCCGGATCTATCGCTCATGGTCAAGGCCCGCCACGGCGGTTGCAACTACATCTTCAGCTTGTTGACTGGCTACCCCGAGGAGCCACCTGCGGGTGCTGTTGTGCAGGATGGCCTCAACTTCAACCCCTACTTCCCCGGTACCGGCATTGCCATGGCTCGTGTGCTATACGACGACTTGGTTGAATACGAGGATGGCACAAAAGCCTCGACCTCGCAGATGGCCAAGGACGTTGTTGAGTTCCTCAACTGGGCCGCTGAGCCTGAGATGGATGACCGCAAGAAGATGGGATGGAAGGTGCTTGCTGTGACGAGCGTCTTGTTCTCTCTCAGTGTCTGGGTCAAGAGGTGCGTTTGCAGTGGTACATGGGCACATGGTGAAGCAATGCTAACGAGCACAACAGGTACAAGTGGGGACCGCTCAAGAACCGAAAGATCCTCTACCAGCCACCATCTAACAAGAGCATCCTGGACCACATCCCCAAGCCCAACAACTCCGGCAAGACGAACCAATAGGTGTCAAGCGGGTTTGGATTTTGCGCGGGTTGGAAGAGCGGGTAGCGGCAGCGTGTGTGTTCTATATCTTGTACAGTGCCAAGTATTTCCAACAATAAGATTTCCTTGTCTCGTGACATGGGCTGAGGGGGTGCATGTATATGTGTGTATGTGTGTATGTGAGTGTGCGTGTATATGTGTATGAGGGGTAGGGGGGTGTGTGCGTGCATGGGCGTAGGGTCCTTGCATACTGCTGGCCTAGGTACCTGTGTGTGATTGAGGATCGGGTTAATAGTAGATTGGCTATGGCAATCAATGGTGCAGTTGAAGAGCAGCAGGCAACATGGCGTCATCCGGGGCAATGGATTTGTGCCTGCGGTCTGGGTTCGCTTGGGCATGCGGCTAAGATAGGCGAGAGCGGCAGGCAGAGGCTGATGTGTATTGTGCCAGTCAGTCGTCTACCTATGTTGGCGACGACGAAGACGTGGAGGGAGCTTCTAGACTGTGGATGGGGTTCGTGCTGGCTCGGCCACGATGGGGAACAGAGCACACGGACGGACATGCTGGCTCGGCACGGTTGCAAACCTGTTGCTGGTTGCAATAAGCAAAGCGATGCCCCACCTGTTGGTGCATACTTGCAGAGTGTAGTATGGCCGAACAGCGCAACAGAGGCTGCACCCGTGCCCAAAGACACTGCACCCTGGCGGATGGACGACCCCAAGGCAGAGCTACACGTGTCACGGCTGTCGGTGACCTACGCACGTCAGGACGGGCTTTGTCGGGATTGGGCTCCACGGCGGCTCCCGTCGAGCCTCTTTGCCATGGGTCTGGTAGGCGTGCATACGGGTTGGGCTGTGGGCGGTAAGGGACGTGGACAATGAGCATGTACCACGTATGCGACTAAAGCCAACCACTCCACGACTCCCCCAGCCGTGCTACGACGACGCCGCGCCGGTGAGGCCAAAACAATTAAATAGCAGCACAAGTGGGCGGTGCATGTGCAGTAGACTCGCTCGAGCGTCCCAGCAACGGTACTGCTGCTGTTGTCACTGCACGGTCTTCTTCCGTCCCCCGTCTGCTATTAGGTGAAGAGGCCAGACTATTATGTCCGAAACAGCACGGCTGGATATTTCTCATTGTCATCTGATTTGGAGACTCTGGCGCAGACCTTGACGGCGTCACACGATCCGCCTTGCTCCAGCCTGTGTGCGACCAACACCACTACCATTACCACACTACAACCCAACCCGCCTGTTGTCTGCCCATCCAAGCCTCCATCAGACAGCCCCAGTGTTTCGAGCCCTTCTGCCTTGACTTTCTGCCGGCGAATCAGCGCCTACCGAGCCCACCACAACGGCCCCGTCAGGCATTCATCAAGCGGAATACCCTGGTTCCTACCGCAGACCTTATTCTGCCGCTTCTCCCCCCCCTTCCCCCCTCCCTTTCTCGCGCGTGAGCAACGAGGGTGTCAGCATCAACAACGACAACAGCAACAAGAACAACGGCTTCGCACAGAAACACTGCAGTGACGCCCCTGGACGTCTGCAGCGTCTGTCGTCTGCCGCTTGTCTGCTGTATACAAAGTGCATCGCTGTCTTTCCCAGCGCCGCACTGCCCCGCCCACGCTGAAAGCGGTCAGCAAAAACACCCCCACCACCACTTTCCACCTTCCCGTCGCCCACCCCCGTCCGTCTTGCCCTCCGCATCTCGACTGCTGCTCACCCGCCCCGTCTTGACCCATCGCTCGCCCCATTCCCTGCGCCCTCAGGACTCCGGACTCGGCCATTCTCTAGCAGGAGCAGGCTCGAGTACGGCTTCTCCTCCAGCACCGCCAACCTCATGCCGTTAGTCATAGCCCATCTCCCCCATACTCGCGCTATGCCTCGTGCCCCCTCTCGACGCTCGACCAAGTCGCGCGCTACGTCGTTATCGTCGCGTACGACGGGCAGCACTGCCCCGTCAAGTGTCTCGATTACTCCCCCTAAGCGCCGCTATCATGTCAAGGGCGACACTAACGTTGCGATCAGACTACGGAAGGGAATCATTGTCAACAACCACACGGGCGCATACGACAACGACGACGACGACGACTTCACTGACGAGGACTCGGCTGGGATCCAAGTCGTCTCCGCCAGTGAAGAGGAGTACAGCACTGGTGAGGAAACCGAGGACGTCGACGACGAAGAAGAGGAAGACGAAGAGGAAGACGACGAAGACGACGACGAAGACGAAGACGACGTAGAGGAAGAGGACGAAGGTTCGTGGGACTACATCGACGAGATTAACCCCTCGGACTCTGCATCCCGCCCTCGTGCCGTCAAGCACCACTCTGCACCACATCGTGCTGTTGCTCACCATCCCATTGTGCACCACGCTGTACACCCTCCTTCTGTAGCTCCACCTCGACAAAAGCCGTCTCGTCGGGAGCGAACATCTTCACGCCACGCTGCTCCTGTTCCTGATCCCCCCTCCCGCCACGAGAGCCATAGCCGAAGCCAAAGTCGAAGCCGAAGCAAACTGGATCGCCAACGCAGGCCGCGACGGCCAAGGCATCAATCCGTCCATCATCAGGAGCCTCCTGAAGTCGAGGACGACGACGATTACCCATATGGCGCCCCAGCTCACGGAGCCCCGCCTCATGGTCATCCAAGCGCTGGCTGGGGTCATATACCCCAGCCAGCGCCCAATGCCTTTGCACCTAGCATGGTTTCAGACCCTCGATATCAGTACGGCTACGCAGGAGGCACGCAATCACCCCCAGGTCAATTAGTTCCATTCGGCCATGACTCCCATGCTGCCTATGCACAGAACCCCTTTGCACCCAATGGACAAAACCCCTTCACACAGCCGCCCGCACCGGCAGCAGATCCACGTGCCGGCTACTTTCCCGAATATCAGGATCCTCGCTACCAAGATCCTCACCAGGCACGCAAAGCCCACCGTTCCTCGATGCCGGCGGCACCTCCTGGGGAAATGATGCCTTACTCGCCGACAGGCTACTATCCACCCTACGGTGCTCAGCCACATGGCATGCCCCAGCACATGTATCCCTACGGACATCCTGAACACGCACAACCACACTCAGCACACCCATCTCCACCTCCGCCTCCACATCCACATCCACCTCCACAGAAAGCCTCTTCAAAGCGAGCTACACCAAAGCCTCAGCACGACGAAGAGCGTCGTGCTGCCCCAACTCCGCCTACACCTGCACCTCAACCTCCACCTCAACCTGCTGCACCCCCACCTCAGACTCCAGCGCAGATGCATTTGCAGTTGCACCAGCCGATGCAGCCGCCGATGCAGCAGCCATTGCAGCAACCAATGCAACAAGCCTTGCAACAAGCCTTGCAACACTTGTCGCCAGTGCAGCAAATGCAACACATACAGCAAATGCAACAAATGACGCCAATGCAGCAGATACAGCACATACAGCATCTGGAGCAAATGCAACAGTTGCTTCAAATGCAGCAGCAAATAATAGCTACTCCTCCACCTGCTCCGCCCGCTCCACCACCACCGGAACCCGCTCAACCAGATCCTAAAGAAGAGGGCATGCTTATAAAACTCGAGAAGCTCTTGCTTCACAAAGCTGACGAAGAGGAAAAGGCAGCTGAGCAAGCCAGGAGAGATGCGGAGCTGGCCAAGTTTGCCCGTCTTGAGAACTTGCTCATTGCCCAACAAGAGGCCAAGATAGAAAAGGAGAAAGCTAAGAAGGAGGCTGCCGAGAAAGCTGCAAAAGAAGCTGAAGAAGCGAAGAAGAGGGGCGACGAGGACAAGCTTGCCAAGTTGGAGCAACTCATTCTTGCTCAAAAGGATGAACAACTGAAACGAGAGGCCGCTGCAGATGCCGCCCGTGCCGCGGAAAAGGCCGCTGCAGATGCAGAAGCGGCCAGAATCGCAGAAGAGAAGAGGCAAGCGGCCGAAAAAGCCAAAATCATGCTGGAAGCGGCCGAAAAGGCGCGAGAGGAGGCCGAGAAGAAGGCGGCTGCCGAAGCCGAGGAGACTAAGAAAGCCCACGAGAAAGCCCTTGCTGAAGCCAAAGCCGCTGCGGAGGAACTCGAAAAGGCAAAGGCTGCTGAAGCTGAGGAGACCAAAAAGGCTCATGAGAAAGCCCTGGCCGATGCCAAGGCTGCTGCTGAGGAATTGGAGAAGGCTAAGAAAGCTGCCGAGGACGAGGCTGCTGCTCTCAAGCCATCTGATGCACCAAAACTCCCAATCAAGTTCAAGGACGCTGTTGGGCGTAAGTTCAGCTTCCCATGGGAACTGTGCAAGACATGGAAGGTAGGTAAACAATCATTGCGTGGGTTGAGTGGCTACTTACATGAGATCAGGGCATGGAAGAACTTATCAAGCAGGCTTTCCTCCACGTAGATGTCATTGGGCCTCACGTGCACCAAGGCCACTACGATCTTGTGGGACCGGATGGCGAGATCATTCTACCTCAAATCTGGGAAACCGTGATCCAGCCTGACTGGGCCATCACCATGCACATGTGGCCCATGCCAGAGCCGCCACCACCACCACCACCACCTGAACCAGTAGTCGAGGTTTTCCCTCCGCCACCTCCGCCACCACCGGATGCGCAAATGTTCATGTCGCAAAATCTCCCTCTCAGAGGCAAAGGTAAGAAGGACAAGAGCAGGAAACGTGAGTCTGAATCTCACGCCCACGTCATAACAGTTCCTCCTCCCCCTCCCGCAGGTGCCATGCCTCCACCACCGCCACCTCCTCCTGGCCACCCCGGCGACGGTCACCATTCGCCACCCGCCGTCATTGTCGTACCTAGCGGTAGTGGCGGCTCGGGACACTCTTCGCGCAAGAAGCCTACTCCCTCGCCGTTTTTCCGATGGGCTGCCGGTACCGCTGTTCGCAAAGACTCGGGCAGGAAGAAGAAGTAAGAGAAGGAAAGGTGTCGGATGATTGATGAGTTTGATGTGTTTATGTGTTCATGTGTTTGATATGTTTGGTTCGATTGCTTGGTTGATTGATTGAACGAATGAGTTGCCAGGAATGGGTTTGGCGTTTGCTTCTTGTCTGCTCTTCATGTGGATTGCGGAGGTGCAAACCCATGTGCGAAGATACCATCCTGTTGCGATTAATGTTTTCTGGTTTGTTTTTTGACGTTGAATTCTAATACATTCTATAGCAACCTGTTGTTTGATCAGTCTGGTATCAGCGTACCTTGTGTGTGTGTGTGTGTGTGTGTGTGTGTGTGTCTTTGTCATTTGAGGTTTTCTTGGTGTTTGCTCGTCACTGCTCCTTGATCAGCTACTGTCATCTTGGGATATATCCACAGCTTCAATACGCTGGCTTTTTTTGTTTCAAACATAAAAAGTCGTAATAAACTTTGTGAACCGAACAGATACCAGGAATTGGAAATCGATCTTGTAAATGTTTAAAAAAGTCCATCATTCATTGTATTGCATTATTGACTCGTTGGTATATTTGAACACGTCCCTCTCTACCTCGTATTGACACACCATATCAGACCTCTGCCGTAAAGTCCTTTCGAATGGTAAGATTTTCAAAGTTCTCCTGATTCTCAATCACCAGCCCCTGCTCGTTTGCTAGATGCAGCAAGCAGATGAAGCAATAGCTCGTAGAGATATCCGCCATTGTTTGCTTGGGGTACACGGCTTGCAGGCTATTGACCACCTTGGTGAAGGTCAGGGAACCATCGACTGCCTTGACGGCCGGGTCGTCGACAGCGTCTGGCTTGGGTGGCGCGGAGATCTGTTTATCACGTTAGTTCACTGGCCGAATATACAAGTCATCAATATCTCGAATAGTACTTACACCTTCGAGCCCGATCCCCTTCCACAACTCATCCTTGAGCCGCTTCACATCCACCTTCTTCGCCACCCGAGCATACTGCACGTATTCTGGTCGGAATCTGCGACTCTGTGTCACTAGTTGCGCACCAAATGCGTCGGCTTGCGAGCTTGGTAATGAACCATCCAGGGGCTGTGTAGCATTTGGAGCTTCGGGGGCGGGCGAGAAATGATCTCGAGCATCTGCAAAGTCTTCATCGTCGTCAATAGGTCCGCCCGGCATTGGTAACCCATCATCTTGGAAGAAGTCTGCATCGTAGTTTCCTTGGGGAGCGCCATCTTCGACGTCGTTGCCTTGGTTGGCCCAGTATGCTTCGTCGACATGGCCATGTGCAGGTTCGTTGGCTGGCGGCTGCATTCGTCGTCCTTCCCTTCGCGGGCCCATGCGCGCTTTAGGTTTGAGGAACAGCCGCAGTAGTTGTCGAGAGTTAAAATGCTTGTCGTCTGGAAGCAGGTTCCGTGACTTTGATTTCCATTGTGCCTTAGGTAGCGATATGGTGGAATTCGACGTTGCAGGTGTGTAAAGCATGTCTGCCAAAGACTGCGACATGGGTGCAGTGAAGTCAATCTCGAACGGTTCCTTTTCTTTCCTCTTTACTGTCGGAGCCGCCTTGCCCATGTGCTTGACTCGCGAGATTCGCCAATGTTCCGGTCCTGCCCAACTCTTCTTGAGAGCTTGGTCGAAATAGCTGAGAATGTTTTCTTGTTCTTGGTCGCGGCCATGCACCATGGAGACGCCGTACTGAGCGTCAGTACCGACAGCACCCTCGCCCCCTTCTCCGGCTTCCTCATTGTCTTCAATGCCCATGGTATGGACGCGAGCTTGTGGATCCCGAATAGCTTCACGAGCCCAGACTTCACCACCTTCACCAAAGCCAGTCTCTGGAGGTAGGTCAAAACCACCCATGTTCACGTCATCATCATCGAAACCCATAGGGTTTTCATCGTCGAGGAAAAGACCGGATCGATTACCGGGTTCATCTTCTTCTTCGTCTTTGTCTTTGACATCGTCACGCCAGTCATCAGGGGCCTTGAGGAAGGGAAGGTCCATGGAACCATTTACATCTCCAAGATCGAAAGTCTTCATTGAAGGGCAAACATCTTGTCCATCAAGCCGGGATAGGTCAGGGAAGTATTTGGCAGCCAGTCCTGATATGTTGATGTCGATATCGTCGAACGAATGCGCATCCTGTGGCTCCTGCGACGGCTGACGGGCATCCTCGAGACCTGCACTTGGACGTGTATCTTCAGCGGTGGCATCACCCGCATCGTCACTGCTATCGAAGACAATTCTGCCTTTTCCGTCAATGGCTAGATGGTTGAGCAGCAGACCCTTTGCGCCTCCTTCGTCAAAATCGGCAGATGCCTTCTTGAAGAGTGGGTCTACAGAGAACTCGAGTTCCATTTTCTTGTTCTGCAGCTGAGCAAACGAGGATGCAAGGGTAGCCTCGGCGGAACGTGCAGCCCTCTTCTTGCGCTTCTTCTGACCATCCTCGCCGTCCTCTCCTTCGCCATCGTCATCACCCTCTTCTCCGTCTTCGGCATCGCCACGGCGTTTTCTGCTAGCATTCTCTGCGAGTCCGCTCAAAAGTTTACCAGTATCGGTAGCGACGCTATCGACTCTGCTGGTATAGATTTTGACGCATCCGTCCAGAGTGCAACTCGCTTTCTGGAAATTGACGCCGTCGCCTTCTTTAAGCAATGACATCTCGTGAAAGTAGTCGATGAGTGCAAAGTTCCATGAGTTGTTGGCATTGATTTTCTGTTTGGAGATGTTAGCATTTGCGTCGAGTGTGCCGTTATGGGCGTACATTGTCTGTGGCCATCTTCATCCACTCTTCGAAATTGGCCAGCAGCGGCATGACACGCTTGCCTGGCGTGACTGCTGTGCCTGTTATGTCGGGCATGCCATCCTGGCCCTGGGAGGGTGTGTGGGGGCTGTCCTGGCCCGCCGCAAGCGACATGCGCTTCCTGGCGGGCGTGGCAGTCGATGCTCGCAGCGAGTTACGCTGGGCTTCATTCTGGGCGTGGCGGCGGTTGGCCTTTTCCCGGCGGTCGTCGTTGAGGGGTACTCTATGCGAGTTAGCCGGGCCCAAGGGCGCGACGTGTGTAGAGCGAGTCGGCCTACTTTATGGGCGTCTTCTGCGGTGAGGCAGCCGTCGTGTACTTTGCCGTGCGCGGCATGGCTGCTTTGGGTGGGTGGACGTGATAGCCTTTGTAGTGGGGGTGCCGGCGGGGAGTCCAAGCCGTGGTGGTGTTGGTGGTCTTGTTTGTCAACAGCCAGGCCAGGGTCCGAGCGCAGGGCAGAGCGCCAAGAACAATTACCACGCGACGAGTGGAGAGATCTGCACCGCCACGCATCCGCTTCACCGCCACATACACATCCGCCTCAACGCCACACGCACTCGCCTCAACGCCTCAACGCCACGACACGACAACGGCCAACCCACTCAAGTGACGACACCCGCGGCAGGGCCTCTGTTGGCCTGCTGCTTGTCGTCGGTCCGCGCCGTCACCTCTTTCCTCTTTAACCTGCTTTCCTGTACTTCTTCTACACTTCTAGCATCCTTATCGCGCAACCGCTTCCGCCCTCCGTCCGCTCGTCTGAGCACGTCGACTATTGCGCCTATCATAGCCCAGGCGACAGCAGCGCCCGCTTCTGCTCAAACGCCTCGCGCTCCGTCTTCCGCCGTCCTGTGACACCCGCCCAAATCGCTCCCCCCAAAGCACTCGATTTCGCGGCCTTATCCATTGCGACTCGCCACCTTTCTTCGCGCTGTCGAACCACCTTTGCGACCGTTTAAAGAACATGTCGTGACCATGAACCACGACGCCATACTTCAAACTGTCCAGCGATGGCGGCGCCCACGCTACTCGGCACGCCCCTTCGCCCTTACTATCCTCGCCATTACCCTCATCTCGTTACTTGCATGGGCAAAGACACAGGCTCGTCCAGGCGCAACGTCATCTGGCTTGCTACACAAGAGGGACGTGACTATCCTGGATCAAGAGTGCCGCCTCGTCCACCATGCCCACGACCAGTGCGCTTTTGTGCGCGCAAACTGCCCTGATGAAGAAGCCGGAGTCATCTCGTATCTGACTTTTTACTACTGTCGCCTGCCTCACGCAAAGCCAGTCGCCTTCGCCCTCATGACCCTCTGGCTTGCTCTGCTCTTCAGCACCATTGGAATCGCAGCCAGCGACTTCTTCTGCGTCAACCTCAACACCATTGCGCGCATGTTAGGCATGAGCGAAAGTCTTGCTGGGGTAACCTTGCTTGCCTTTGGAAATGGCAGTCCCGATGTCTTCTCCACCTTTGCTGCCTTCCGCACCCACGCAGCAAGTTTGGCTGTCGGCGAGCTTATTGGCGCTGCGTGCTTCATCACTGCCGTTGTCTCAGGCTCCATGGCCCTCATTCGACCCTTTCAAGTCGCCCGTAAGAGCTTTGTCCGTGACGTTGGCTTCTTCCTCGTCGCCGCCGCCTTCAGCATGGGCTTCATCATCGACGGCAAGTTGCATCTCTGGGAAGCGATCAGTATGGTTGCCTTCTACCTGTTCTACGTCGCTTTTGTTGTTAGTTGGCACTGGTGGCTCAACCTGAGGAAGGCGCGACGGGCAAGGGCTGCCACTATGAGGAGCCAATATGTCATGCCTAATGGTGAAGAGGAAGAAATTCAGGAGTACCATGACGAGGAAACATCGTCTCACAGCAGAACCCCAAGTCACGGCATATCCATCGATGACTTTTCCATGCTTGAAAATGCTGGCAATGACGAGCGCATGATCGACGACGACGACAATGAAGAAGAGCGCGAACGTTGGATGGGCGAGCTGACCAACAACATGCGCGTCAACCGACCCAGCAACTCGCGTCGCAACACGCACACGCCCATTCGTCCCAGTCTGGTGGGAGCCCTCGAATTCAGGGCTGTGCTGTCTTCGCTGCAAAAGTCACGAAATATTCAGTCCATGCCCATCAACCTTCGTCGATACTCTGACGATCCGACCTACACCACTGCTCAGCAGCAAAAGTACATTTCACAAGGGACACATGCTGCCGCACAGCCTCCCTTTGACGCCCAATCTAGTGCCTCCGATGCCTTGGCACACGTGAGCCGATCAAACCTTGACATTAACTATGGTCTGGGTAATCGAACTCGAGCAGTGTCAACTAATGACATTGACAATATCTTGTTGCAACCTAGCACCCTTCAAGGTCAGCCCGTGCCTGATATAACACTTGCGTCGGCAACCCCTAATGACCGAGACACGTTACTGAACGCTCCCCCATCGCCAACTATTTCCCTGTCTCCACCAAATTCTCCATCCTCATACGATCCAATCTCAAATACGCCCAGAACAAGGCCAACTTCATCAAACATGCTCGCGCCACCTAGCGGTGATAACAGGGCATCGGTCCGCCAAGGCACATCGTCACCCAGTCCTTTCTCCTCGCCTGTCATAGAAGCCAGTGACCGCCAATCGCCTCCAAGTCTGAGGCTGGTTGTGCCAGATGCTAGCTCTCCGCCAATTCCTTTCCCCGCTTACACTGACTATCCCTGGTCGGCGCAATCAGCTTCGAGACCTGCAAGCCTTCGCCCGCCATCTCCTAGTGCATCTTCAGCGTCGGGATATTTCCCCAGGAACACATTTGGTCTTTTTGATCAAACTAGAACCCCTAGATGGTGGCCATCCAATCTTCTGCCTGCACCCTATGTGCTTCTCGCAACCCTCTTTCCAACTTTGACCAATTGGAAGAGCAAAAGCTTCTTTGACAAGATTTTGGGATTGGTAGCAAGTATACCGGTGTTTCTACTTACAATCACACTGCCCGTGGTCGAACCTCCGTCGGACGAGACTGAGACAAGCCATCCCGAGCCCTCATTCGACTTTGGTTTACCGACATCTCCATCGACCCACATTGGCAGTACAGATTCACATACACGTAATGCTTCTCTGACTTTGCCACCGGATAGATCAAATAGTGTTACGTACTCTAAGGATAACAGACCCTCCAATTTATCCATGCCACAGGGCAACAGCAACTCTTCCTCGGCCAGTGCTGGTCACACACCTCAAGTATACATTACAGGTACAGACACACTGGCGCAATCACCTGAGCAGGTTCCGGCACTCGGCTTGTCCGAATCGACACAATGGAATCGCTGGCTAGTCATTGTGCAGATATTCACGGCGCCATTGTTCATCGTCTTGGTCTTTTGGGCAAACATGGAACCCGACAACCCTCGCGCTCTACTACGCCATACACTTTACTCCTTAATTGCTTCACTGTGTATTCTGGCGCTGATTCTGCTCACCACATCTCCGTCTCGGCCACCCCACTGGCGCTCGGCGCTCTGTTTCCTTGGATTCGCTGTCGCCATCGCATGGATTAGCACGATTGCCAACGAAGTTGTTGGTGTGTTGCGCACACTGGGCGTCATCCTCAACATGTCTGATGCAATCCTGGGCCTCACCATCTTCGCTGTTGGAAACTCGCTTGGCGACCTTGTTGCGGATATTACTGTCGCGCGCCTCGGTTTTCCCATCATGGCTCTTTCGGCTTGCTTCGGCGGCCCTATGCTTAACATTCTGCTGGGCGTGGGCTTGAGCGGATGCTACATGGTGATATCCAAGGGAGAACATCGACATGAGAAACACCCGGATCAGTCGGTACATTTCCGGCCTTATCACATCGCGGTCAGCACTACATTGGTTATTTCTGGTGCGACACTACTTATCACTTTGTTTGGCCTGCTCATTGCGGTGCCTTTGCGCAAGTGGAAGATGGACAAGGTCATCGGCTGGGGATTGGTCACATTGTGGTCTGTGAGTACAGTTGCTAATGTACTTGTGGAGGTACTGGGATACAGTAGTAGTGTTAGCTAGAAGCCAATAGAGCAACCATTGAATACTTCACTTAGTGTGTGCTGCCATGCCATAGTACTGTGAATTGTGCCGACTTTCGGAGGGCTTGCAATAGCTGTCTAGTATCGATTTTTTTTTCTATTTTGATCTCCACCTTAGCTACAACGAGCTTCCGACGCCGATATGGGAACAAACAGCCCTAGGTTTTACTTTTTACTAATGTCTTTGATCACGACCAAGAGCAGTTTGTAGTCTAGCAGCAGCATTTGGAGTGCGGCCTGTAGGATTGTCAGTACCTAGAGTACCACAACATTTACACAATGTCCCCGTACTCCGCCACGAACACGAGCACTCAGAAGACGATGTTCTTGACATAACATCTTACGGCGGCTTTCTCGGCATTTCTCTTTCTATGAAGACTTTTTAATAGGCTTTTAGCACATAATCATATGTAGACAGTGAGCGGAAACATCTCAAAACCATCATTCCATTGGTTATGTCAGCTTACAAATATCATATCCATCTTGACTTGTTTTCATTTCCAAAATCTTTCACTGTTATCTCCAAATTTACATACCTACTATATGACCCCCGCTCGGCTGAGAAACTCATCGTGCGTAAGAGTAATGCCGCCGCTTCGCAACACTAGCTGGTAACAGCCCAGCCTCAAGGGAAATTGTACTAAATTAGCAGACCGGAATCGGCCTGTAGTGTAGCAGTAACAGATGGGGCAAACTGCCTCGCGAAATAAAATGTTATATCAAAATATGGTTTTTAAGTAGGAAATGCCATGCCACGTCTCCCGCCAACAAAAATGAAAACATATGTATCGACTTCTCGTACTTCTACCAGGGTTGAGAGTCACTTCTTAAAATGTTAGTCCTAAATCAACAAAAGCATGGGAGAGCGAATCTAGTGTTTAAGCTTCCCTGACACAAGGCGGGACATATTGCAAAAGCCCATTCACATTTTTCGTACATGGTGTCAAAAGAAAGTAGGGAAGATGAGTTGGAGAGCTGTGATGGACGTAGAACTTGTATTTATAGCGACGAACTATGTACATGATAATATATACACGAATTACGTCCTGCCAATCGCAAAGGAACGACGTGATCATCTGATTTAGAGGACAGCCTTCTCGACGGGGATGACACTGTCGAACTTGGTGCTGCCGTCGTAGGGGGCGGAACCGAAGAGGGTAGCACCGCTGGGAAGAGTTTGCTGAACGTTGAGCACTGTTGAATGTTAGCTCTGCTTTTGCATGATGTGAAAGACTGAACTTACACTTTCCATCCCACTTGAAGTCAAAAGCGGCGCGGTCACACCCGTGCACAACGGGAAGCTCGGCTTCGGGAGCCTCAACACAGGTGCTCCTCAACTTGTTGTCGCCAGGGTACTCATCCGAAGTGAATTCGGCGTGGAGGTAGACATATTTTGGGGCGGGGCCCACTTGCATGGTGACGTGCCACTGTCCCATACCATCACGGGGAAGGACGGCGGCGGAAGCGCTGGCTGCAAGAGCGAGAAGGACGGCGGAGAACTGCATGTTGGTGGTGAAGAAGGAGTTTTGGAGTGGTTTGGATATTAGAGAATTAAGGTGAGTACTGTAGTAGAAGTGATGAATACTGGTGGCGTCATCTTGTCTGGGGACCAGGTCACGCTTATATACAGCATGTTGTCACTGTCAAGATCCATCTTCATGCACGTTCTCTCGTGAAAATGGAGTCCATAGTATCGTGACAATGGAAAATGGTCGTTCACCTCGTAATGCGATGTCGCATTACGAGGTTCCCCATTGAGCATTCCTAGGGGGTTGCCTACTTCTTCCGTACTGATCGGCCAAATGCGCTTCTGCTATAGGACATACTAGGGTAACAATAGGCTAGATATTCTCTAGCGTGCGAGTACTGACCCCCTTTTCATTGCCGTACCCGGATTATTTTTAGAAATATATGGAGAAACAGCATTAATATTGAAAAGACCGTGCCTCCGCAATGACGCTTAACGCTTACCGAGAAGAGGTAGCAGCATCGACTGATGCTCCAGCGCAACCCTGCAAAATCATGTCACCGAGCCCTACTGGTAGGCCATGGCCATTTTCTCCAGCATGGTAGCATTGTTGGCATTTTAGGCGGTGCGTCGCCACTACTTTGGTCTCGTGATCCGAGTTGCAGCAGCTACGCACGTTTGTATGCCAACACATTGTATCTGCATACTTGCATCAGGAATGATCCATGTCAAGGTTTGACGTCGTATAAGTAACATAGCGCTATCTGCTCAATTGACTACGGACGGTCGCAAAGTCTCTTGCTGTCAGAGTCATGTGCGTGGGCGGCGGTCACTACCATGGCCGATCGATCACCGATTGCTCTCTCAAGTTCGCCACTTCCTGTCGGTATTGCCGTCACAACCGGCACAAAGAACAGAGGGGTGCTCTAACTCAGGTAGATCCTCTTGTTCGTTTTCTAAGGGAAGATACGTTCTTGCACAACGAAGACCGCGTAAAAGAATGAAAGGATACTAAGAAGCACTAGCGATCTGCACACGGCTAGAAATATATTATCGACTGATGGGAACGGGAAGATATTTAGGGAAGTTCGACAGACACTGCGTGGTCATCGAAAGGGTGATATATGCAGCGAATAGAAGAGGTTTTGTTGGGTGCTCAGGACAGTTGGGCTCCAGCAAAGGTTCAGGGTGGCTATAGAGCACACCATTGGTGAAAGTTAGAAGACCAGCCCCGGGGTTGACACACATGCATAGTTGGAACCTACATTTGTTCAATTTTCATCACCCCTGATTTGTACTTTACCTTTTTCCACGATATTTTTGATTCACTTCCGAGGTTGAAAAAATTTACCACTCAGCGGGATTCATCCACCAATACATACCGTAGTCAGTGATATTTATCGAGGTGGCGAGGAACTCATATCTGTTACATGATTCGTCGAGAAGGGTTGATACTAAATTATCGTATTTTTCTTGCTACTTGAACATCGATCTTGGTGGAGATGATGGCGCCTGCGTTCTTATGGACCCGTGCACTGACTTCTTAAGTTCTGTACAATAAGGGGAAGCTCTTCGAGCAGGTCATTCATGCAAATCACGTAGAGCCCGCCTAAGTCTGCCAGAAATTGTACAGGCAAGCACACAATCACTAGAGAAGAGTCTACTAGAAGAAATGATCAATACACCATCTTTCTTGTATATGGAACGAGACTCGAGTGAGGACATTTATTTACTTACCTAAACTGATAAGCGTCTGACCACCTACTCTTCACAACTCCCTTGGGCATCGCTAAGTTGATTATACTATTTGTGCAATCAGCTGGCGCATTTCATACGAAGTCACCAATTCGACATGCTGTCCGAAGTTCGGACCAACCCTAAGCTTGGGGATTGTGCTGTGTGAAGATCACAACGCGGTGCAGGGCGAGGGGATGGACATTCGAACTATGCTTGTGCAAGTATCACATTCATGAAAATGACCTCTGTCACGTCCTTCGGGTGTGTAGTGGACGGAAAACTACTGTTACTTCAGAATACTCGATAAAGCTACTAACATAGACAATTTAAAAGGTAGCACCAGCTATTATGGGAATGTCGGAGGGGGTGGCTGCTGGTGAGCAAGGGAGACTATGGCACCTATTCAGAGTTCAAAACAAGCAATTTAATTGATCATGAATTCGCGGAAGTGCCAGCGTCAAGGCCTTGTACGGCGCTGCGGAGCATACTGTGGCTCGTCCGCGGACCAAAATGTCTCTCCACTTCGGTTTCCCGAACTCTACAGGTGTTGTCTAGACTCTTCCCCTAAACGGAGACATCCTTGAACTCACAACATCCTCAAAATATCGATGCGTATGCACGATGAGCAATGAACCTAGCATTCTTATACAGATACCACGGACTCGTTTGTCAGCATGAGCTTGAAGTGGACAAGGGCCAGCTAAGAGCTACCAGGTTCCCGTCTTCTCAAGATTGAAGCGCATGATACTTAGTCAGACACAGTCAGAAAAAAACTGCGTGAAATCCATGTGTCATATTTCACTTGCTTCAAAACGCCTTCGGATGCGGTCGGAATTGTGCAAGGTGTCGCTTGTGCTCTGATGGCCTGGGTCTACTGCTTTGTCAATCGATCAGCTGTAAAAGAGTTATCATCGGGCCCTTTACACGGGTATACATACGTTTGTGGCCTATCAGAAATCCCTGGAACCATGAAAACAGGTATAGGCTGAAGGCAAGAGCACGGATCCAGGCGGATCGAGCCCCACGAGTTGCTTGGCAGGTTCATTTCTGGTAGGAATCCCGTTGACTCCGACCTGGCACAACTCACTCCAAGCAAATGACATCTATTGGTTGGTAAACTATCAACTAGGATGAAGCATGTTTTTTGCCGGGTACGGCATATACCTCAGTGTCTATCAAAGTAATCCGCCTCTCCGAAGGGAACTGTGAACAAGGCGTACCTGGTTTTCAGTCCCACTTGCGCGACGTGGATATTGTATATGCTCTCATCATACCATAAGTGTCGAATGTTACAAACACAGAAACGGAAATACACTTCTGAACTTCCCTCTCCGGTGATAGTCATCTGAACAATACTGATTGGTTGGAGTTTGAAGTATGGTTGTTTAGCGTCAAAAGTTCTTGGATACAGCTCCACAAAAGCTGCATGTCGGCCAAAAGTGATCTTGGGTCAAAGAATCTAGAGGAAGGGGGCCTTTACATAGGTTTGGGAAAATCTCAACGATACTCGACTAAGTGGGTAGGAACCAAGTACCCGTATCAGCGATCTTGGCATTACGAACATGGACTACACGTTGGGACTGTGTATTGCCAAGCTTTGGAGGCTCGCTATCTGATAGTCAAGTACATGGCGCGCGAGAGGACGACTGTGATGTTGATGGTGTGCATCAAACAGGACTATCTGAGTATCTAAAGAGCCCACAACTTCAACCAGTTAACCAAGTAGCGATGATTGCCTGAGATGTAAAGGAGCTACACAGATCGATCCATTCTCATTGCCCATGGGAAATGGATATCCGCTTCACTTCCCCGGTTGGTGATAAAGGCTTGGTGAGGTCGCTTCGTACCCTGGACTGTCTTCGTGCGTGACAACCCCTGCGCTGAAAATGCCCGTTACTACTACCACTACTGGTAAGTGTTACTTTAGTCCGCGGCATCTCTGAGAATTTCACGCGTGGGCATCGGCGCTCGACTTTCCGCCCCATCACCACCTACGACCATGACGGTGACCACGACGGCGACCACAACGGCGATAATGCGGACTTGTCTCAAACTCTAAATAGTTGGGTTTACTCTTCGGATAAAGAAGTGCGCACTGCGAGAATATTCAGCGGCTTGGAGAATGTAGCAGAAGCAAATGCGGAACATAGCAGACGGCCGTTTAATCCGATTAGGAGTTGAGCTTTCGATTATGAGCTTAGCTTCGGTACATTCAGCAAAAACAGATAAGGGTGAACGGGGAAGACCTCGGGAGGTGGAGGTAGGAGGTTCTAGTACATAGTGGAACGGGCCGTAGAAGGTAGCGGAGGATCCGGTGAGCCCTTTAGGTACGGAATGGGGGTTATACGCTTTTCTCTCCTCTATTGGTTCAGCCTTGTGAGGGATACACTTACTACTTGTACTATTACAAGGTCCCTCATATCACTAGATGTTTGGCATAGTACGCATGGGCCATGAATCATGGCTTGGGCTTGATGGTTCCAATGCCAGGAACCAAGTATTTACACAATGGTCGACTGGAAGCTCGTTTTGAACGCTTCGCGTAGGAACGAGCAGAACCCATTCCCTCTGCCTGCTAATTACCCAATCTGTACGCTTCTCAAATGCATTTCGTACCCTTTCCCTAACTTTGAGTAAGAAAATCTCTTTGTTGTAGCTCATCCCAACAACCGTGCGTTCGTTTCAGAAGTCCCCACTTTAGCGGAATACTAGTCCCCAGATATTGCGGAGGCTTAAATCTAAGGACATTTTCAAGCAGGCTATGTGTACGCACCAGTAAAATCGATTGGCTATGGTCTAGGCGGGACAGGATGTATCCACGTGCGCCCTTATCATGTCCGTACTATTTACTGCAGGGTAACAGTATGGTTCGGTCCCACTATCACTTGGCTTACTTGCGCGGCATGAACCAGTAGCTTTACCCACTTTCCAATCCTAGAATATAGAGATTTCAATTTGCAGTATGCTCATTCGCTACATAGTAACATAGCGCACGTTTTCGTCTTCAAGGTTCACGTTCTATATCGTTCCTGACTAAGTGAGAGTTACTCTTACGAAATGGTACCGGATGTTTGAGAGGGGCCAAAAGGCAATCGGACCGATCACTGCTTGATCTAGGGAACCACCAGATAACGGGAGCCGGAAAGGCCGTGGGTATGCTTACAACGGCCTATTAGGTTATTCTGTTATCGGCTATAAGATAGCTTAGATAACTATTGCGATAGACATGTTGACTGTGGCTGGAAGTTTCTATTACGGGAGATGAGCCCAATGTTAATGCGGGACTTTTCCGTTCTGTTCCGTTCTGACCTCGCTACTACTACAGGGAATGCCAAGCTCAGAGTATCGAGCAGTAACTACCGTGAATGTGTGGATCATTAAATGCGGGATATGCAACAGAGAACCCTGTTTATACATCCTGGGTTGATGATAGTCTCCGTGGGGAATCATACGATGAACTCAACTATAGTCGCCGTCGGGGATCTTACGACAGACTAACTCAGGTACGGACGTACTGCGCGAGTCTGTATGTGAAGATATCCAACTTGGCGATGTTGTGTTTGTCTATATAACAGGCCTGAGGCTGCTCCTGAACCAATTGTCCTACCACGCTGATTTCGTCTCATTCGAGCCGAAGAGTTAATCTGATAAAACAGTGGTTACTCATGATGCTTCTCTCCAGCACCATCCTCGCGGCATGCCTAGGACTTATCGTCCCGGGAAATGCTTTCTCGGAAAGACGGATCGATAGGAGCGTTCATGAACAGCGTGCAGAAGGTTCTTGTTCGGGGGAACAGCTTCCCTCTGTTGCTCCGCACAAAAACTTCTGGGGTGGCTTGACGGCGGCAGAGACTAGAGATGTCTTGGCTCTTCTGCACAGTGATGCTGTCGGGTTCAATCTCACGAATGCAAACAATGCTACAAGGTAAGTTGGATCTGCCCAAAGTTTGCAACAAAGGCATCACTGACCCAGTATTGCAGTCGGGACAACAAAGTGTAAGTGTGAAACAAACCAGCTGCGTACGCATCCATCTAACAGGACTGACCGGATTTCTAGCATGTCAGTTGAGCTCATGATGCCCAACAAGACAGACATCCTTCCTCTGCTATCCAACAGTAGCGGAACCCCGACTAGGTACGCCTTAGCTGCGGTAATGTTCGGAGCTCCAGAGGAGGCCTATCTTCAGGAGTTCAAAGTCGGCCCTCTACCTATCACCAACGCGTCGGCTGTGCTGCCCTTCACTTTTGCCAACACTAGAAAGGATCCGAAGATCTCAGTTGTAAACCCGGACACGGATGATTATGCTATATTTAACCTGCAGAATATGAAGGACGCGGAAGACGTGACAAAGAAGCTTTGGAACCTTGTAAGTTTGATGCAATCTCTCGACCGTGTATCTAAGTGGCTAACATGAGCATGTAAAGACGGTTGATGACGGCCTCCAAGTACCCTTGGTTTTCGCTGCTCCGATTACGGCTTCTGAAGGCAAGGTCATCATGTGGCAAGGATTCAATGCGCCAGTCACAAGCATCTACGATACAATCTCCCTTCTGCCGCTAGGCCTCTACATGAGAACAGATATCACCGGCCGCGATCCTAGCAAGTGGAAGGTGACTGGCTGGGTCTACAACAACGAATTCTACCCAACTCTGGATGACTTCCGCAAGGTTATTGATCAACCAAACTTCAAGGCTTTGGGAATGAACGTGGACGAGCCTTGGGCTCATACGCGAACAGTTGGAGACCCTTTGCCTTTTGATAACCTCCCACCACCTGCATCAGTCCAAGCAGGCAAGGAAAGATTTACTGTTGATGAGGAAGAGAACTACGTGACCTGGAGTAAGTTTATATCTGAGTCTCGCATTGAAAACCCGAAATATATCTGACGATTTTTCAGTGGATTTTTCATTCTACGTTAGCCTCACCCGCGACAACGGCTTGCGTCTCTACGATGTCCGTTACAAGGGCAAGAGAATTCTATACGAGGTAAGCTAGGCTTTGACATTGCTTTTTTGATAATGCAGCTAACCAATATCTAGCTCGGAATGGACGAGGCCATCGCACATTACGCGTAAGCAAAGAACCGGCACTACATGCTTTCACAACATGCTAACGTGTTGACTTGATGAATAGTGGAATCGACCCAGTACAATCAGGCACATGGTATGGCTTCAAAGTTTCTAGGGATGCACGTACTTTTGCTAACCGGTTTATCTCAGTTACTTCGACAGTATGAGCGGCTTTGGACCCCCAATGATCTCCCTTGTCAAAGGTGAACACCAAAACTGTTGATGAGTCATTGAACATAATGCTGACCTAAGCTGCTCAAGGCTACGATTGCCCAGCTTATTCCCATTACCTCAATGTGTCTCAAACTACCGGAGAGACTACATACACGCAAAATGACGCCCTATGTGAGATCTGCCCCAAAGCCTGCAATGAGAATCACAAAACTAATGAAATAAGGCATGTTCGAGATTGACAAAGGATTTCCCATCCAGCGTCACTCCTGGGCTGGTTATACAACTGTTACTAAGAACATTGCGTTCAACGTTCGCGCTGTCTACACCATTGGCAACTACGACTACATGACCACGTATCAATTCTCCCTTGATGGGTCGATTGAAGTCGGGGTTCGGGCCTCGGGATATATCTCGTCGGCATTCTACGCCCAAAACGAAGACTATGGTTTCAAGATTCATGATAGCCTCTCCGGATCCCTGCATGACCACGTCATTACATTTAAGGCTGACTTCGACATCTTGGGAGAAGCTAATTCACTAATGAAGGCTGCTATCGTGCCGACCACCGAGACGTATGATAAATCCCCTCACAAACTTAGCATCAAACGAGTTGTACTAACTTTTGCAAAGGTACAAATGGTCAAACCGAACGCACAAGACCATGAAAATTGCGAAAAGCTTCATTGAAAATGAAGATGATGGAAAAATCAACTGGTCGCCTAACGGTGGCACAATATACGCCGTTGTCAACAAGGACGCGCCGAATGAATTCGGTGAATTGCCTGGTTACAGGATCGTCCCAGGTGCGCTAAAACACTCTGAAATAAGTCATATCACTTACTAATCGTATCAGCGGCCGGTGTTGCCTATCTTACGGTCGAGGATTCGGATGTCACCCAAAACGCGGCGCACCACACCACCCACCACCTCTACGTTACCAGACAGAAGGACAACGAAATTTATGCAGTCGGCGCATATAACTCGCTTACGCCTGATGATCCTCAGGTGGACTTTAATGAGTACTTTAACGGGGAGTCTCTCGTGCAGGAAGACATGTGAGTTCTCATTTTCTTTTTCCACACCACCCTATTTCTTCCACACCACCATATTCTGACATCATAACAGTACACTCTGGATAAATTTAGGAATGCATCACGCACCAACGACTATGGACCTACCGAATACTGTGTTCTCCACGGCTCATTCTGCGATAACTATCGAACCGTTCAACTATTTGGCCAGAAATCCTTCCCAAGCAAGTACCCAACAAGTCTTAATCAAGACAAAAGATGGCAAAGCAGAAATTACCCGTTACGGTGCTCAAGAAGCTATTTGTCCAATAGACCTGGTACGTTACTCTATATGTACATGGAAATCAATGCTGATAACCCTACCCTTGCAGGCCCAGCTCAACCCCGACCTCTCACAGTACTCGAATACTATCAGCGTACTCAAGTACCCATTCGATGGATCAAAGCCAGATCGTGCCTAAGTACAGCCAGACTTGGGATAAATCAATCCGTTGATTCATTTGATTGAGTCTTGATCAATTCGTTCCATCCAATCAATGCAAAACCGCAGTAGCTAGAGTATCAATCAATGAAATTTACAGAGGTCTAGATTAATTAAGTTGATTAAAATATTGTATGATTTGCAGCCTACAATGCGTAAACCTACTGTAGTTGTGAGAAAGTCGACGATCTGATGGGACAAGTCACGTGATGTTATGAATAAGACCATGTGACTGTCTACGTAACTTATCCGATCAGATCGCCAACTCTCTCGCCACCAAGAGATTGCCATATCAGTGGTTTTTACTTAGCTTACTTTCATATCTTTGATTGATCCCAAGCCTGAGTAAGGGATATCGTGAAGTGTCTTATCATGGGGTACCGCGTGTATAGCTGCTTGAGTACCATTGCCAGTGATCTCTATGTTGTAGACTTGTGGTGGGAAATGAGATTGATCATTAATCGCTTTTTTTTTCATGCTACTTGACGAGCCAAGCTTCATTCTACCATTTCCATGATTATATTCGTACACATCTTTATCGCCATCTCCTCTTGGACCATCAAAACCTCACCATCAGTACCTAACCATCGAGCTAGAACACATCCGGCAACAGGCGCCAAAACATCCGTTCAGCCTCATCAAAGCCGGCTTGATCCATCACGACTAATGAGTCCTACATCTCCTGCAAGTGCAATTCTCCTTTGCCCCCAAGGCTTTCACGTCTCGTTCTGAAAATGTCCGAGTAGACTTCCCATTTCCCTGACATCACCCCCTGTGCATACTTCTCCTTGTTCTGCAACTGTGAATACTTCTTGTTCCGCTGCTGTGTGACGACTATTCCAGATTCCTGAGAGGAAGAATCAGCAGCAGCGCTCTTCTGCATCGCCGTCTCTCAATCCTCCGAGTACTGGGAATTGATCTCATCCCGAGTCTCCAGGATCGTCTCTCGTGGCTGTTGGCCTTCAGGTTCTTCCTCCAAGTCTCCAGAGTTCTGAACGGCCTGGACTTCGGCCTCATGCTCCGCGAGAACGTCAATCTCTTCATCGTCCTCCTCATACCCATTAGAGCCAACCCCGTCATCGAAGTCCTCGTCACTCCAGTCTTCAACCTCGTCCTCGCCAGATTTGAAGGCGTCAAACCACCGGGTTCTCCTCCTGTAACTCATGGGCATTGGGACGTACGCATAGTCGTTCAGCTTACCCACTGGGCCGTACCAGTCGTTCTCGTCTTGTAGATCCAGGATAGCATCCTCCAGTATCTTCGTGAAGGCGGGACTGGAAGGGTAGTGGTGTCGCAAGATGTTGGCCCTCCAAGACTCAAAGATGACTGTGCGCCGCGGGACATCACACTCAGTGGCCATGTTTTTCGGCAGCAGGCTCATGAAGCCTGTTCGCATAGGCTCTCCGGCTTGGATGTTGCGCGAAGTGGCATCTTTTATGTGTTGTACCAAACCACGACCAAAGGAGAAGTTGGTTGGGTGTCCGCGGAAAGCTGTCATGGAAAACCCAAAGAAATGGCACTTGCCACCAGTTTCGAACCACTGCACAATGTACTCAAGGAATAACGTTGCTGGTGAATCGTCCGTTGTGTGGTGCTTGTTGCACATCTCCGTCATTGTCCTAAGGCGTCCATGAAATTCCTGGTATACAAGAAACCTGTCAACATCTTTGGGACAAGTGATTTCTGGCCATGGCCAGGGAATCCCATCCTTGCCCATGCGCGGCAACATAAGCTTATGTTGATTCATGCTCCCTGAGCCTCTGTCACTCTCGATTTGACGAATGTCATCGAGTATGATATTCCACTCGTTGTCAGTCCACGGTGAGTCAGTGTTCGGTATTGGATAGCTCCTGAAAGAGAAGAGGAACCTTCCGGAACGGTTATCAGGTAAGAGTCTCACATCCCATATTCCGCTCTTGCTCTCTCCATTATGCTTCTGACCAAACCGGGAGTCATCCTTGACTTAACTCGCTGACCTTTAGTCGGAGGAACGTTGGACGCAATTATCCTTTGAAGATGAAATGCCTGTCTTGGCGAGCAAGATGGTGCGACAAACTCATGAGGGAATGACATACCCGTTCAAGAACATTCTAATCGCTCTCAATAGCCTGATGATAGCCTCGGCAGGGTGGTTGGTCTTCAACTGCCTTCTTAAGTCGTAGCGACATTTTTAGCAGTGGAAGCAAAGAGGGACCAAACACCCCCTTCACGCGGTTGATGCAGTTCTTTGTGAGAATATCATTGTCATAATAATGCAATGCAATCTTGCCCTTCACATCCAAGCACATATTGTGTGGCTTCTCGACTGATAGGATGTATGGATGGTGTGACGATTTGCTTCGGTACATATTCGACTCTGGGTGATAGATGGTCGCCTTGAGAGACATGTTAGTGCCAGAGTAACCGTCAATCCACTCGTTTGGTAAGGGACTATATCTTGTCGACAGCATTTTGGACATCTCAGCTATATCCCAAGCAGGCTTCGCGCCGGCCTTGACTTCATACCGATGTTGCGCTTCAACACGGTTACGAATGAGCTTCAGGACATCGTACGGTTGATGCACTTGCTGCAATTTGGAGAGCTCAAGACATTGTTGGCATACAAGAAGATTACCATCATCTGTGATACGTTCGCCCATCTGCGAACATGGACAGATGGTGAAACACGACATACAATAGTGATCCGTATTGGCACGTGTAAATGTGTCCGGGCAAGTGCAGTAGTTGTCAAGTATGTCTCGTTTAGTAAGCTGGCCACTCTCAATGTACTGGGTTGTCAAGAATGCCCCAAATATCGTATTGAGTAGGTTCTGTCCTTGGGCGAGTGCTCGCAACGACGCCTCCATGATGAAAGCAAGACAAGCTTTATCATCAACCTCGGTAGTTAGGCGGAGGAAGGAAAGTATGTCGCCCTCTAGGTTGTCCGTGACTGCCTGACTGAGCTCCATGGCGAGCTTAGGGCGCTGTCGACGGGTCTGAGCCAGATTCGCTGATTGTTGTAAGGGCCATAGCGCTCCTGGTAACGTCTTGGATCATCCTCTGCTAGGAAAGACCCCAGCATCATCTTCGATTCAGCGAAGATTTCAACAATGCCAAAGCGCTGCATGACGACAATCGCCTGGATGAGTGTGTCACAAAAGCTCGTGAGCTGCTCGAAGACCCTGCCATCCCTCGTTACCATCGGATCAAGACGCTTTTGCTGCTAACCTCAGCACTTGAGGACTGGTACGACGCGAGTGACTGTTGGTGAGAAGCTGAGGCATTATGGAAATCGATTCGACGTTGGTATCCCGAAGGTCAAGACAGCGATCTGGATGAGTTGATGACTGAGATCCGCATGTCGCTTGATCAGCTAGCGGAAGCACTAGGGGACGAGGAAGAAGAGGACGATGGCCTAGAGGACGATGGCCTAGAGGACGATGGCCTAGAGGACGATGACGAAAGCATCGTGCATGTGCATGACGACCAGGTTGCAGACACCCAGGCGATGATTCAGGAGATGGAAATCAAGGAAGACGACGTCGACATGGACAGTGGTGATGAGGATGTTGCTGCCAGTCGCGCGAGCCATGTCCAGATCCAGCCCGTCAAAGAGCCGTTGCCTAGTACTGAGAAGGTAGCATCCTTTAGCAAAAGCAAACACATGCAGCTTGCTAACTATTTTTGTAGTATAAACCGCCTCATCTGAGGCCATGGTCGATGGTCGACCCGACCTACGCTCGACACCGTCCTCCCGCAGTCTCCGCACCCAAGCCTCCTCCTGCAGCCTCCGCGCAAAACATTCCTTCTGCGACCTCCAGGCCGAGTGTAAGTTTACCCCTAGATAAAACGCAAATCGAATTGCATATGCTAACAAAGTAAAAGGGAAGGATCTGTCACGCACTAAGTAGCCGATGCAATGGCTCGAGGAAGTGCGTTAGGAGTGGTACAGGATACAAGAGTCACAATGGTGACGAGGACATGCATGTATTGAGGGCCGATGCCCCTGCAGGTAATGCCTGATGGTTGATAGTTTGAATGAAACGATACACAGCACAGCACAGCACATCACATTGCTCGACAGGCGCAGGCGCGGACATGTGGTTTACGCGCCTCGCCGGAACTCGCCTACTAGTCAGTTTTGCAGCGGGACCCTGCTTTGCTCACGTGGACATTACTACTACTATGTACCTGCTTTGGACTCTGCTGGTGCTCCACTATCACAAGCCATGGATGCGCGCATCGTCGCATCTTCTGACACGACACACGACATCAACGTCACCCAGCAATAGGTGTACCTAAGTGTGACCGCAACGCCCGCTGTAACTCTGTACTACAGGATTTTGACCGACTAAGCCGGCTAAACTTCGGAGAGGGTCCTCTAGGTGTCTGGTCGGTTTCCTGCAAAGTATGCGTTTTGCCTCGCTTAGACTGAAACTGGACGAAGACCGCAGCCTTGGCCTGCAATGACGGGCCGTTGATGCGGTCTCTGGGCCTGATCTTGAGCGTGCATCGGACGCCAGAGAACACGGAAATTAAGCCCCAGGAGCCGGAGCCAAGGCCCTTACTCGCTACTCCGCGTTGCAGAAGACGGAAACTAATCGGTCTTTGTCTAGTCGTCGGTGGTGGCGTCCTGTGTGGCTGTCATGTTCTACCGGTGCCTCTATCAGTCGCTGTTCATCGTTGCACCACACTCTCCAACAGAGCCTCACCAAATCGACATTGAAAGCCCCTTATTCCAGTAGGCTGTTCACCAGCCTAGAGTATCCAAGCGCATTTGAGCCTCTCTCAGGGGTGCAGCATGAATTATGTCCTCTTTCGGCCAAGCGCCACCATAGGATACCAAACCGGGTAAACGTACCGTATCGGTATAGTCACTGTCCTGCGGGGCCCCACAACCAAATTTAAGTAATATATTCCACCAAGTAAAAGCTGGCAGAATAGATTGGAATAGCTTCCATGATTCTTCTCTGAGCGCCACCAAGAGCCTCTATGCCTTAAGGACGATACTTCGAAATGATGGACATCACGAGGCCAATCTAGATAAGGCGTTGAGCCAATCGAGGCGTTGGCTAGTTTAGATGAGAAGGGTACAGCCCATCACAGGAAGCAATTCCGTGCCGGGTCTTTGTCCACAAGTACAGTATAAGTAGAGTAGAACTTCCAACTGAACAGTCTGCCACCCACCACTCCTTCAACAGCATCAACTCCTCCTCAATTAGCCCATAATGGCACGTTATGCACTTCTCGCAGCAGCCCTTTTGGGTTTCACAGTGGCCCAAACCCCAGGAACCACTCCTGAAGTGCACCCCAAGCTCACCACATGGAAGTGCACCAAGCGTGGAGGATGCAAGGCGCAGAACACTGCCATTGTCACAGACTCGGCCGCCCACCCCATCCACCAGAAGAACAACTCCACCCTGGGCTGTGGATCCTGGGGTGACGGCCCCGACCCCACAGCGTGCCCTACAAAGGAGGCTTGCGCCAAGAACTGCATTATCGAGGGCATCTCCGACTATTCGACTGTAGGCGTCTTCACCAAGGGCGCCGACCTCCGCATGGACATGTACAACCCTGCTGGCAACTTTGTCAGCCCTAGGGTCTACCTCCTATCTAAAGACGAGAAGAACTACGAGATGCTCCAGCTCACTGGTAACGAGCTTACCTTTGACGTTGACATGTCCAAGTTGCCCTGTGGCATGAACGGTGCCCTTTACCTTAGCGAGATGAGGGCCGACGGCGGTCGCTCTAAGCTCAACCCCAAGGGTGCTGCCTACGGTACGGGCTACTGTGACGCGCAGTGCTTCGTGACCCCATGGATCAACGGCGAAGTAAGTACAGCCTCTTCCCCGTCCGACCACCTAGGGTTTTCGACCCCACAAGACCATCAATGATGCAAATACCTGTATTTCTCATCAATCATGCTAACGCTCCACAGGGAAACGTCGCAAAGCAAGGTGTCTGCTGCAATGAAATGGACATCTGGGAGGCCAACAGCCGCTCCACCTCGATCGCACCGCACACATGCGGCAAGCCAAGCATCTTTGCCTGCACCGGCGACGAGTGCGGCAAGACAGGTCTCTGCGATAAGAACGGCTGCGTCGATAACCCGTACAAGACCCGCGGCGACAAGACCTACTATGGCCTAGGCCTCAAGGTCGACACGAACCGCCCCTTCACTGTTGTTACGCAGTTCCCTGCTAAGAACGGCGTGCTTCAAGCCATCGTGCGCAAATACATCCAAGATGGCGTCGTCATGGACAACGCCGTCAAGAACATCACCATGGACCAGGCATACTGCTCTGCACAGGGCGGCGCGGAAATGTACAACCAGCTCGGAGGCCACAAGGTCATGGGTGATGCCATGTCCCGCGGCATGGTGCTCGCCATGAGCATCTGGTGGGACGAGGGCGGCGCCATGCAGTGGCTCGACAGCGGTGCCTCGGGCCCATGCAACGCCACCGAGGGCTTTCCAGCTGAGATTGTCAAGAAGGTTAAGAACCCGACTGTGACTTTCAGCAAGATCAAGTGGGGCGAGATTGGCTCGACTTTCTCGACAAAGAAGGCGACCGAGAAGCGATGGGAGGCTTAAAGCGCTTCCGCTGCTTGGATTGTATATAAATCATTTTTTGTGTATATATTAAGGACTGAATTGATTGAATGAAAGAGTACATGTTACCAAGTCTGCATCCAATCACATGCATGCGTCGCATCGTAACACAGCAGTTGTGGTAAGATATCTACGTGCTAGAAAGCCCTGCATGAGGCCCTGTAACGCATTAATGGCAAGGCAAAGTCTTGCCATATCTGTATTACTAGACTTTCAAATGCGCTCATTCAAGAAAAGCGACGTTGGACGTCTGCATATGAATGGTACGTAAGCCTCGCAGCTTACAAGGCGCCCCCTGCAAACTCTAAATACAGAATGCGTCGGCCCAGATTACGAACCCCAGTGACACGTGACTGACTAACGATCGTTCTTCGATCTTTCTCCACATGTCAGTACTACAGCAATACCTCTCTCCCTTGTGAGTGCGTCCTTTCGAGCGACATGCGGATATCCGCCACCTGGAGATGGAGACGAGTATGAGTGGGGTGCGCCGTGGCTGCGAAGCTTCATTTCCTCCCACCGGCTGGATAAAACCGAAAGCTAGGAAACAAATTGGGTATGGACGACTCGCTCTTCAACTTATACATGACTTCTTCCAAAAAAAAGACGTTTGTCGTGGCGATGCAAAGATGTATTACGATGCGTTGATGTGTCATGAGGTTTCTGCATCACGATCAAAAGCAATGCATTATTTGTCATTGAGACTACTGCTATTTCGACTCAAGCTTTTTAGCTATCATAGAGAAGAAATATGGAAAACGTAGAAGATAACGCGTTACACTAGTATGCGGGCTAGGTTCTTACTAGGATGCCAATCTTCGCAATGTCACGTGACACCGGAATTGTCATTTCCGTTATACGGATTAAGAAGCACTATTTAGATTGAGGTTTTTATTCGTCTAGTCGTTTGGCATAACTTTAATACACTAGTTGCAAGAAAGATTGCTAATGAACCAAGGTGATGATAGAACTTTGCTTGCAAAGTTGGAGGAGACTAGGTTGCGCTTCTCACCCACGCTGGTATCAGCGAACATGTAATAGGTCATCAGAAAATGTGCCTTGTCGACTATTTGACTGTGAGAAGCGGAGGCGTGGCGTCATTGGCAGAGCTCCCTAACGGAGCCGCGTGCGTCTTTACTGCACCTGCTCATATGATTACCACACCCCAGCATGAGCACCTGCTAAGCTCATCTGCATCCAACCCTCCCCAATTAACAATGATGCACGTTCAGCTCACCAACGACCCTTTCCAATCACAAACTCAATCATTCCAGCGTCCCTACGCAGCGAGCCTGTCCACCGCCTGTACAGGGATACCTCGGGTCCGGGAATCCCCCATGTCCGGAGGGCCATGCTGTTCTGAAAGTGCCTCGATTATCGCAGTTCTGAAAGAGTTTCGTTGAGCACTGCATATCGACGTCAGTAATCGCGTCCTTGGCGGGTATCTCAGATATCATCGTCTTACGCAAGCTACATGTGTGCCTTTTTCGCTGCAATACGCCTTACTCGAGCCGTCCCATGGAGTCGATAAGCAGCACGCAGTGCTTTGTGCCATTGTCCCTGGCGCTAATGCCAAGGCAAGATCTATGATTGTAGCGAGATACTTCATGATCTCGGCAGCGATAATTTGACGAGGGGGTTTTTCTGGAGGGATGCCGATGGTTGAATGAAAGCTAGTCGTCGAATGTGTAGAGGCTGCTGTCATGATTTATAGGCGTGTCCCTTTGAGCACAGGCTTATAGCTCTATTCCACCGATTCCGTATCTTTACATACCTTGAATCATTGGATGCATTTTGCCGGACGTGAATGATGATGGGCAAGGTGCTCCCTGCGGCAGACATAGGCTACTACTCTGGGGTCTCGCGAATATGATCATGATGGAAGGAATATCAAGTGTCGGAACTGATACTAGTGCTGACCGCACGCATACTTATCTCTATTGGTACCCACAATCGTACTCGCATACTGAATTTCAGCTTCGTGGGTTGTATAAGGGTTGGATTTTGAGCCTTTCTATACCCTTATGGATCACGTAGCACACCTAATCCAGACGTATTCATCTATCTGGGGCGAGAGACTTCTATATAAATTTTACGGATTGTGTAAAATCTCTTACTCATCTGCCTGCACTACTGCAGAACCAGCATGGCATGGATCATTTTGAAGGCAAGGGCCTGCGCATACTTGTACGGATCAGCAAAATCCGCTCTAGGTAGCAGTATGTGCACGGCTAATTCAGTAAATGCGTGTAATCATTTAAGTAGTTCCGAGTCATGATTAGGCCGTAAAGAAGCTAAAACTTAAGCAATACTATCGCTCACAAGGTTAGGTGAAAATGTCCTTAGCGCTTAGCCACGCAAAGCTTACCTTGAGATGTCCAGTCCCCGCTTGAAATTTATCACCGAGTAGAACGGACCGCAATAATTAGACATGTATTTTGGCTAAATCTCCTGCCTTCTTAGCAAAGGCGACATGTACTCAAGTTGTGGAGCAGAACCCATCTGTATAAAGCCATGCTGCTGGAATTAATTACCGCAAGTACAGGGCAGAATGCAGGGAAATGCATACTCGCATGCAACACCAGCAGACACGCGTGTGCGCAAGTCTCTGAGTTCTCGGAACATCGATCTCATGGTGGCTCGTCCTCACTAGAACTAGACGCAGCCGAGTGAAACTACTCTTCTCCTTGGATACGGATAGGGCCGTAACAGGGTCCGAGAATTCAGAAAGTGCGTGTGAATGTATGACGCGTTAGCGGTGTACTATTGTCTTAACAACACGCGAAAAATTTCGCGAGATTCATTTTATCAGAAAGTTCTCTGCGCTCAATTTATAATGTTCCATTCTCGTCGGACCAACACCATAACCCGGATATTCTCGACCAACTTGCGACCCTTTGAGGTCGTTTTCTCCACATTGCTCTAATCACAGAATACAACGAATAGGGCGCTGCTGTGGTGCCCCTACAGTGCCTCACACTAGGCTGCCATCTCAAAACTTGAAATTTCCGCATGCGTATTACCGGATCTACTTCGACTGATGCATCTTCTAGCACACAAAGATGGACACCATCATAAACAGGTAAAGATTGTGCCGGGTATTCTAGGCCTCGACTGAGAAGCGTTCCATCATCGAGTTGTATCATAATTTTAACTCTCTTTAAATAGTATATAGAGTAGTGATTAACGCAAAAAGGGTTATTTTTGAGGCTACTATAGTTGATTTCGTAAGAACAATCCGATGAATATATACAAGACGGGTGGTTAGCTAGAGTGTGCGTAGATTAGTTCTCAACAATGGAGTAGGCTTCCAATAAATAATAGATACTACTACCAGGTAGATATTTTATCGATCAAAGCTAATCACGCCTTTCTAGCAACGTCGATCAATACAGCATATGATATTTATATTAGAAGTAGGAAACTATTGTATCATGAATATCGTTAAGGTAATTTAGATTGGAGACGTACATCGAGGATCATTGTGCGGAGCTAACGGCTCTATAAATAATCGTAAAGAATACATGTCCCCTATTTGCCTAGTATATCCATTCGGACAAACTTTTCTAAAAAAAAACAATCAAATTAATAGATGTTTAGATATCCGCGGTCTTAAGGTAGACGTACACAACTACGCTGACTGAATGAGGTCTAATTGACTACCAAGCCGGTAAAGATATCATCTTCATATATAGACGACTTCTCGATTGGGTGTCTGACGGAAAGCACCTGATGAATAATCTAGAGAAAGTTTATTGACTCGATCGTGTTGTGTGTAGTCGCAACGCCGTCTCCATAGATGTAGAGTTTAACAATGCTCATGTCGATCGAGTACCACAAAGCGGCTGAAAACGGCCCGAATATCATGCCGGGATGCCCGGCTTAGCAAGAGGACGGAACCATACGATAAGCAAGGCATGGAAGCGACCAAACATTTTGATTTTCCTTCGTTTCCCTCCAACATTCCTCCACCATCCTTCGTCCAAACAGGCCCAAATCTGCACTGTAATCATTCCAGTAAAAGCAACATCATAGCGGCAGTCCGAGAAGCTATGCGAAAATGTTCAATCCACTCTTTTTCTGTAGCTTTAATCTTGATGTGTATACTGGTATCACAGGCGCCACGAGCAGATGATGCTTGTGATTAGCTTTACGTAGAGGGCTTCGTTAGTGCCCCGGCATCCGTTCAGGCCAAAACTATATAAATGGGAGCCCGCCACGTCAAACAATGTGGCAGTCCAGGAACCACTATTAGCCAGAGAGGACAGAGCAAAAAACGCAGCAAAATGGTCAAGATCGCTATCGCAGGCGCAACATCAGGTATCGGTCTCGCGTTCCGGCAACAACTCGACGAGCAAAACTCTCACGAATACATCATCTTGGTTCGGAAACCACTTGATCATGACCCAAAAGCTGTTATAGTCGACTACAGTTCAACGGCTGCACTAGCAGATACTTTGCGCACATATGCCATACACACGGTCATCTCTGCTCTTTCAATCAGCGACGAAGCAAGTGGTGTAGCACAGCTGAGACTCATCGAAGCCGCGAGCCAGTCCAAATGCGTGCAGCGCTTTCTACCCAGCGAATTCGGTGCTGATTACCATGAAGGGTAAAGAAACTCCATATGTCAATATATGCTAGATCGATCTTAACATTGTACTAGGATCTTGGATTACATGCCCAGCTACGGCTTCAAGTTCAAAGCGCGCAATTTACTCGCCGAACTTGAAATGGAGTACAGCATCGTGTCCATCGGCCTTTTTCTCGACTACTACTGTCCGCCATCGATTCCATCAGCTCTGGATCCTAACAAAGGTGCGGCTATGTTCATTGATCTGCAGCACAGATTTGCTGCGGTCCCTGGGGACGGTAGCCAACCAATTGTGCTTACCCATAGCACTGATGCGGCCCGTTTTGTCGTGGCAATGCTCGACCTCCCATCATGGTCTCGAGATTCTTTCTTCGCTGGCGAACGTACATCTTTGGTCGAATTCCTGCAATGTGCAGAGAAAATCCTAGACGTAAAGTTCGAGGTTCATTACGATGACCACGAGAAGATTGAAGCGGGCAATATAACATTGACTCCTAATCTGGCGGAGCGGTTTCCCGCTGCTTATGCGAAGGGCATGGTGAAAGGACTTGCACTCGAGTATTTGCGAGGACGTTCAAGTCTCCCGTACGAAAAATGTAGGAATGAGATTCTTCCTGATGGAAAGTGGCTCGAAATTCAACAGGTGCTGCATGCGTGGAAGGTGGCAGGAGCGGCCTGACATATTTCTCTTCACATTTCTGTTCAGATAGCTTGCTCTTCTGGCACCAAGTAATATGCATACTGCAAATGACTGCTATGCCACTATTTGGCGCAATCATTACACAATGACTCCTGAATTGAATACGCTACCAGAGGCGTGAATTCTCAATCATCCATCAAATACAGCAATATATGGCCACTCTGCTCTTCCTCGGAGCTACGCCGTGTACTTATCAAGATTAAAAAACGCTTGTTCACCCACATTGCCCTTTATCGCCTCGCCTCCATTCACAGGGTAGGATAGAGTAAGGATCAAACATCAAGGCGATTTCCGGCATTCTCGGAGACTTTGAAAAAGGTTATCCAAGCTGTACTTCTATCGCGGTACTAAACGGTCCCTAACTGACTATTACACATTGAGTGTGGACTGCATTTGAGTTCAAAGGCCTCAGGGCCAGTCTACAGCATCAAAATCCATTCATGGGCAAAGGTATCGAGGAAGAATGGAATGCTTCAAAGAACTGCGGTCTGAAAGGGAAGGTTGCGATATGGAAGTCCACAGGATGGTCTGCAGACACACCGGAGCAGCCGATCGAGGAGCGGTTGAAAGTCCACAGCAGAGCTGGGTAGGAGGAGTGGCAGTGAATGCACAATCAAGCATAGAGAATCCAGAGGAGAAGGGAGGAGAAGGGCGGAGCAGACTTGGGTACTGTAGGCTCTTTTTTTACTCCTATTATTGTTGAATCGGCGGCACGCGTCTACCAGGGCTATCTAGCGAACAAGTATCTAATAAGTAGCTAACACAGTAAGTAAGTAGTACTTGGCAATAGCCCCCGCACTTTACCCCGCACTCCCCGCCATGCTCCGGATGCAGGGACGATCCGGCTCCTTCCTACTTGCACCTGAACTACTGAGACCTATTATCCCCGATAGGTTGGCAGTCGAAGTACCTGTTCCTACTCAACGACTGGCAACTTTGTAAAAGTGCTCTTCGGCTTGCTTGCTTTCCAACGCCATCGTCATTTCCACATCTCAGTCTTCATGAACATAGCCTTCTGGCAGATTGGCCGAGTCAAACGGCGTGCCAGACTTCACGTGGTCAACCACCGCCTGGCATTTTTCATACGCATACGCTTCAGCATCGTGGCAATACAGCCACAATGGCTGTGGTATCTTCAAGAATTCTGGGTTCCTCTCGACTGCCTCCCAATCCGTCTGATGCCATCGATGCCGCGTCTCCCATCCCATACGGGGCTACAGGACGCATTCGCAATGTTTCTTTCGGCAGCTTATTAACCTCAGTCAAATTCTGCCAATCATACAACTGAGGGGAACGCTCGTCTCCGACAACAGCATCGATTTGTTCTTGCGCCTTTCTCATTGCGCTAGGGAATTGGGTCATTAGGAGTAGAAAGTTGTTGATTACGCCAGAAGTAATGTCCGAGCCAGCTTCAATCATTGGTCCAGCCATGAAACTTAACCCGTGTCTAGTCCAGTTTAGATTATCCTTTTTCTCGAATAATCGGTCGGCGAAAGAATTCATTGAGCCTACAGAACGCCTTCTGTGCTCAACATGGTTCAGAAACCTGGAGTAAAGGTGGTTCATAGTTTTCCGCGTAGCTGCAACCTTATCGCGCCATCGGCCAAAGAATTGATGAGGTAGGTATAGTAAGAATGGGAAAAGATCCATTGGTGGCAAGCCTCCAGGCGCTAGTAACTCAGTTAAGCTTCCAAGCACACTTTCTATTTCCAAAATGTGTGAAATCTTCGTATGTGGAGTCCGAATTCCATAGGCTGTTGTTTCGGCTTAGTAGCGCTCTGTAGTTACTGTGTCATAGAGGTAAATGACCGACAATCATCATAAAGCTATTAGCAAATCGTGTTGGATGTTTCATGAATTCATCTGGGGCAGTGACCATATCTTTGATCATCTGGGTAGTTTCCGCTTCAATTAGCAGTAGATGATTCTTCTCGACGACAGAAGGCATAAAATTTCGATGCATAAAACGACGAACTAGCTTCCAGTGAGGGTCGCTAGCCTGCATTAGAATAATTTCATCGCCCTCGTAGACCATCTGACCCATGATGTAAGACTTTGGTCGATCACTGGTGACTGCACTTCGTTTATCCATAAGTTCTTTCACCAAGCGTCGGTCGGTAAGGACGATGGTGGTGTGTGAGGCCGCTTGGAAGGAGTGAATCGGCCCATATTCCCTTACCCACTCGCCGAACCTTGAAAGTTAGCCGAACGAACGGAATTGCACCTCGTGAGGCCATTTAATACACTTCAAATAAGCTCTCTCTTTAAAGATCTGGTGAATATTTCCAATCAATGGTAAAGCCTTGGGACCTGATTGTAGTGTAAGGCATTACTCCTAGAGATGGAAACAAACAGACTTGGAGGTAGGTGCTTTTTCCGGTGCTCGGTGAAGACTAGAAGATACACCAAAATCCCAATAGCCAACGTTACAATAATTTTTGTCGAAGACATCTCAAATTTAGAGAAATCTACACAGTTTGAGAGACATGTGGCTTCCGAGTAATAGTGTATTTCGATAGTTTTATAGCTAAAAAGCTTTGAGCAGCGAAACATGCCTGTGGGAAGACCAGGACTGACTTCCGGACTGATGTCAAGGCCGCATCGTAAGGAATTCCGAATCCATTCGTGAATCTCTACATCAACCGGGGTGAGTTGAGCGCAATAACGGCCAGGTAGTTGTCAGCCCAATATGACTAACCAGAGGGCAGATGCAGCTCAATGTGGCATTTGCGCACAGCGCCCACCCGTGTCAGCAATCATGTTTCCGAGACCTGCCAGATCTTCATATCTTACCAGAAGAAGCTGGAGCATGCTTGAACATCAATTCCTAGAGGCAAAATCTTGATTGAGCTGTCCGTCCCGTTCCTGCCACTCATCAACAAGTTAGATATATCTCCAGACGTGACTTGAGGCGACACCCGATGTTTCAAACGCATCGCTTCGTTCTTCGACATTGCGTCGTCTACAAAATTCGGGATTTTCTGATATGTAGAAACCCATTCCTGTTTTGGACCCGAACGGGGTGCGTAGAAGTTGTAGGTCAATACTTTTGTCCCGCAATTTCATATGCTACTTGGCGATTTTATTGCCTTCGATAATGCTTTTTTCCCAATATGAGGCGTGTAATGTGAAAAAAGTCCTAATATCTCAGGCGCGCTTTGCTATAGAAGTTCCAGGGCTTGATCGGCAGCTCCGGAAAAGCCTTTGCCTTCCATGCGCATTGGCCGAAAGTCGATGTCTACGTAAACGCTTTAGAGGCATTATATATCTTTTAATAATTCTCCCATATTGAATTCAAGTGTAGTAAGTTTAGGTAACCGCGACTTATGTATTAATCGTAATAGATAAATATAGCTGATTACCTCAGTGGATTGGACATGGCAGATGCCAGCAGCCTTACAACAGGAAAGCGGATCTGACATTAGGGGAGTGCAGGTATGATCAAAGATGAATTGGATACAAAGCCATTTACTTCGTGCATGTTAGCATCGGCGAGTATGTCGTGATGTCTAGACTCACGATCTGAATTGTATCGGACCATTTGAGCCGCACTAGAAATATAGCGTCAGTATATTGCCTCCATACAATATATCAAATACTCACTACTCTGGACTTATTGTCGCCGAGATGTCATCAACGAAAATGGTGTCGTATCCCTATATGGTCAGTCTTTCGAGAAATGAATGTCTCGATGTCATATGCTGACCTTAAAGTATGCATCTAGGAGTGTACCATACTGCGACTCAAATTAGCTTTGTCTCTAGACCTTTGGGAGGAATGGCATACTACGCATTGGTCCGAATTCACACCTCCAAAGAAAAGAGTAGTGATCTGGTTTTCTTCCAACCAGAGGCCAAGCGGTGTCTGCGCACCCCACATGCCGCTCACACGATCTAATTCCGTGTTAGCAATTCTCGTCATCACACTCTATCTGCAAGCTTACTCTTGTTGAAGTATTGGTCAGTCCCGTTCTTAACGCCTTGGGTTTGCGCATCGTATAATTTCCCATACGGCCTTGCATTCCAAGAGCCCCGCATTAATGTTTTACCCAACTCGGTGCCGTCTTTCAATTTCCCCATATCGCTGCCGAACGAATCTACACAAGTTAGTATTGCTGTACAGCACCCAAATCCGGGAAGGACGTACTTGTGGGACTGCGCTTGGTTTGCGAAAACCCAGAGATGTCTGCGGGAGGCAGATCCCGCAGATCCCTACCATCAAGACCCCAGTTCGTCCAGAGCACGGGCATACCGTTTCTACGAAAAGCATCGATCATGTTGAGCGTGGGCTCCACTGCTTTCCGCCCGCCTTCAGCGCTAGGAGTAAGCTCTGGATGGAGGAAAAAGTTCTGCATGTCGATTATGACGAGCGCAGAGCGTGAAGGTTCAATGACAGCGCGTTTTCGGGATCCTGTCATGGGTATAGTGACGGGCTTGGTCGTTGGCGCGACCATGGATCGTGTCAAGTCGTATGTGTCATTTCCAAGGTAAACCCAATGATTGTAGATATTTCCCAGAAGTGTGGTATCAGTCGTTGGGAGAGTGATATTCTGGGACGCTGTGATTATGGTAGACGACACGAGTGGCAAAGCTGCCATCGCAGCTACCGTTGTCGCAGGGAGTTTCATCCTCTTCGATGCACCGTCAGTACTATCGCATGAAAATTAGCTCAAGATAGGTTGTTGAATGGTGGAATGCGAAATCATCTATGCTTTCATAGTCTGTTCTGATGACCTGTATTAAATAGCGTCGTCGCATGTAAGAGGTGATGAATGGTACGTGTACCTTAATATTATCATTTATAGCTGACTGGGTTCGTTCCGGTGAAGAGCACCTACCTACGTGCTCAACAATGTCATGCGAGGCACATGCATTTCCCCTGATACATGCATCCTTCCTTGTTTCGCGGTCAAAGTTGAGGGTGATCTCCGCGCTTCCGAAACCTTAATACTGAAGCTGTCCAATAGTGAGGGTATAGGTAAGGCTCTAATGCTGTGGTGCCAAGGAATCATAGTAAAGATTGAAATTAGACCAGACTGGCCACAATCTCGTGTTCGGGAATAACGTACGTACACAGTGGAACACCAAAATCGGATGCGTTAGCTAAGGAAATTCCCTAACTAGGAAAGTTTGCATGTTGACAAGGAAAGGTCGCACTCTAGCTAGTGTAGAAGCATTGGCTTGTTTTGTTTAGCACTTTACCGAGCGAGGCCTTCACATCGGTATATATAGGCGTGGAATTGAACGATTGAACACATTCCTCTGCTGAGCGTACATCGCATCTCTTAAATCTACTACGATTCGACCTTAAAAGTTCGATCTATAAGCCTAAGGTTTCCTGCCTCATTTACAGTTATTTTGCCATTCCCTAAGAATACCGTTTCATTCACCCTCGCCCCATTCTACAGTTTTCTTAACCCCCTTCAATAGTTCCCTGATTGGTTCAGTAAATGCAAGTTTCCCACGATAGCTGATATCACAGTTCAGCTCAGCGTTTGCGACGGAGACTCGAGCGTCAAGATTGGTATAGTTCTCAGAGAGATGCATCCAGTCAGTCCCTCCAATAAGGGGAATATCGGTTGATCCGTCCGGCGACCTTAGATGTCCGGTCAATACTAAATGCGATATATCAATCTACGCTAGATTTCGCGCCCGATTGAGAAGCTAACCATAGGCTGTGCTCAAGTTAGAGTACAGGGTCTTCTCCGACGCGAACTCAAAAGGGCCATCGATAGTAAGGTCGAATGCATATGTTAACTTTGGTGCAGCCATTATCATATAAACCAACTGCTCGTATGGCTATACAAAATAGGTATCACTACAGTTCGACATGCGGGGTATATATATCAGATCAGCCGGACTTGGTTAAGTACTCCCCCACGCTAAGTAAAGATCATTGGAGGCCTATGCGCCCAAAATATTCGGCCTCGGCCTGCACCACAAGATCGCCATATTCGGAGAAATAGAGCATGGTGATTGCGAAGTGGAACCACTCATTGTTTCTATTCGGACCGAAAATGTTGGGTGCTGCAGATCCGGACTGAAAGGGCCGATATCCGCTCAATGTTCAACTAGCATTCTTTCCCATGAATCATAGCTCCAGCTGATAACGAATTGAAACTCTCGACCAACCAAAAATTGCATTTCCATGTGAGTGAAGAATTCTCCAAACTGCAATAATCCTGAAAAGGGCGTGTCCATTTCCGTCTCCGTTTTCCGGCTGCTAAACTCAACATGGGTTCTGCTTTGCAAATGGGCCCGCTTATGAAACCTTAATACTGTAGCCGTCCAATAGTGTGAGTATAAAACAGAAACGGCTATAGTACCGTAATATCAACCGTCATTTGCCACATGAGCGTTGGCCCACAAAATGCCTGTAACTGGAAACTATGCTGACACTCAACCCGGACAGAAGCGGAAAATGCCAGGTGCACCTTGCTTAGAGCCTATTCGGTTGCGCGTTGTCTATCTACAATCTACGACTGGCTCCTGTTAATAGCCAAGTACTGTTTTCCAAATGAGAGAAGCATATTTATTCATGCTCACTATGGATATTTTCAATAGTATCCAGGTTATCTAAATCCAGATGGCCTATCAATTTCATCCGCTGTATGTGACAAGAATGAGTATGACATCAGCGTTTGAAAGTAGTCGGAGCAAAGTCGATAATCTATATCAATCGGTCAATCAATCGAGGCGCTAATGGTGCTTCTAGTGGTCGTCCGCGTTATGTTGTGTCCCGATTGGAACGAACCGTTCTAGTATGCAGCTCGTGCAGAATCTATGCTTCACGGCTGTAATCGCGGCTGGCCCTCAAGGGTCGCACCATTCTCATATTTCTTGTGAATTTTGGAAACAAGAGATAGTTTAAGTGATAGTAGCAACGCAGTGGTATGTAGATTCCGGCCTGCTTTGAATAATACAGTGATCGTTTTTGCTTTTATGGCATCCTTTAACCACTAGTATCTGCTTGACTGAGTGTATAAGCTAGCATTCTCAAATGTTAATGTTATTATGTCTGTTTGGGTTCGGGATGGTATCATTCCGGATAAAAAACGCGAAGTAGGTTACGCTATCCCGATCAACAGCCTCGCCGGAAGCCGTATCTGCAGGGATAGTGAACAGCTAAATCCTTAATTCTGGAACTTTTTCTCAGCATCGCAACTGTGCCCCTTCGAGGATGGGATACATAACACCAAGATCGCCAGTTGGGCTGGAAACTGGCGCTACTCGCCAGTGCAATTGGTTCTGTAAGTCGCAGCTGACCTATCGCCTTGTGTTCTCCTTCTACTATACCTTCAAAATATCCCGTCTCATATGTAAAAAAAATATGAACCTAGCCTATTCAGCTTCTTAATATGGCTGGCATCACTGGCCGGTGTTTTCTTGTACACTAGCAATTCTGATGTCACTCGTGCCAACTTCTTGAACATACGGGTTTTACCAACAGTATTAGAAATGACTGTATATCTTGGTGTACTGAGTTATGTCAATGATGATATCCCGCAACCCTTCTACTTACAATCAGCCTTTCAAGCACGTCGATGATCATCTACCGCCTTTTCCTGAATTCTCTTCGAAAGTTTCCCGGGAATTTGACCGCAGCCTTACTAAATAGGATACTTTCTAGCTAGCGTACAAAGGTACAATTCACCACACACTACTCCAAAAGCATAAGCAGTATGGCGATTACATTCGAGTCGGCCCAAACAAGATCTCGGTTGCGGTCCCTAAATATATCCCCTTCATCCATGGGAACACATCTCGATTTCCAAAAGGTCCCTAGTACGACCGTATGCTTCCAAACCAGCCTACTGCTCTTATAGGCATTCTACTATACAAAGAGCATAAATTTCGACAAAAGCTTTAGGATAAAATAATAACACCCAAGGCTCTTAAAGTCTATGAGGGACGCATCGCGGCTCTATTGAGTGATCTCGAAGCTCGTTTCACTGAGTTTGCCAAAAAGGGGGAAACTTTCGACCTTGCCTTATGGACAGAGCACTTACTCTTCGACTATTAGAAAAATCGCTTTTGTAAGCCATCTTTGCTAACCTTCAAAGTGGTCTGAGATAGCTCAAAGATCCGAGACTAAATCACAAACAGAATGTTGAGTTTAACTCAATCAAAGATGGCTCGACTCACTTTTATGTGAACTTTCTTCATTCAATGCTGAAGTTTGTTGCTTCCTTTGCAAACGTATCTTGGATGAAGCCTATGTTAGCAAAGCTACCGCTTGACCGGAAACAACGGTAAGACATAAATTGGTTCCAGGCTTTCGGCAAGGAGAACCTAATGAGAAGAATCCAAACAAAAGGTTCGTCCGAAATTGACGCAATTGGCTTTCTATTGTCCATAGGCGAGAGAAACCCAGCTTACAAAATTTCATTCCCAGAGCTGGCATCCGAAACTCTCGTAGTTATCACAGGCGGAAGCGACACGGCAAGCATTGCAATCACGTACGTTGACATCATTATAGATTGACTGCAATGATACTAATCTCAAAGGTTTATACAGGTCTGCAATGTTCTGGTTGTTGACCAACAAAGACGCATATTACAAGCTTAGGGACGAGTGCAACAACTTATTTGCTCCCTACGAGAAATTTAAATACGCAAAGCTTAGAAACCTCAAGCGGGCACCCTATCTCAACGGTTGTATTAACGAAGCATCACGATGAATACCCTCCGGGCCGAACGGTATGCGGAAAGTCGTGAACACCAAGGGCGGGATCAAAGTAAATAATATGTACGTGCCTGAAGGGACAAAGATTAGCGCACATCCATGGAATATGTATCATGATGCAAGATGGTTCGAAAAGCCATGGGACTTTATACCCGAGAGATGGATTACCGACTCTGGATTTCAGGGAGCACATAACCCGAAAGCATTTATCCCTTTCGCCATTGGATCGTACGGGTGCATTGGCAAGAATCTTGCTTCGTTACAAATCCGTATGTTCTTAGTAAGGTGAGTCTCCTACTTCACTCTTCAAACTTCTAGCAGTCGTCACCAAAACGTAATGTCTGTAACTATATGCATGCTAACATCAATGAAAATAGAATGGTTACGAAATTCGACTTCGAAATTGCTCCAGGATTCAATAAAAGATCCTTCAACGAAAACTCTAAGGCGTACCTTGGTACACACAAGCAATCATTACCAGTGTCTTGCACAGTAAATTCGTGAACAGAGACGATATTGTGGTAGAGCGACTGGGGGTATATAGGAAAAGGCCCAAAACCTACTCAGATATAGACAATGTGATCAGGCTGTGGATATTCATTAGTACTTCTTTTCGGAGTAGATTGATTACTATCTTCATTTGGATAAAGTCCAATGGTTGAATTTTACCTCTATTTTAATGGCTCGATTGCAGATCGCCCCTTGATCTTTTCAGCTCGACCTTGCATCGTGCCAAAAAAGTCAAGCGTTGGTCCAAATAGGCGTGGCCTTCTCACCGCTCTCACTCTATCTTTGTGGTTGTGATGAAACAGCTCTGAGTGGTAAGTGATAAGCAGCGCACACATGGTTTGGTGGTACCAGTGACTGATCACTCGTCCCAAGATGGTTTCTTCTCTCCAAATCCACCCTACCTTTCTCAAGTATTACCATTTCTTCCTGATCCTCTGATTCTTCCCAGCCAATATCTCCCGGGAACGTCTTTCGTCGGCGCCTGCAGCAACAGCTGATGTTTTCAAAGTACATGGCTGCTACGGGTACCTGAAGTCCAGCAGCGAACAAGCTGGCCATGGCTATTCCAGTCCATATCAATCCAAAGTAATAAGATGGGTCCTGCGTCTTAAGAACCAGGACTACGGCTACGGTATTTGGAACAGCTGAGAGACCTTTGGAAAACATGTCAGTCACGCAAAACGCCATTTTTGGGCTCCAACATTACCATGTATCAAGAAACCAAGGCCAGATATAGCCTCGACGGTCAGTTTTTGGGCGGTAAACTGAGTCGCTTGTTTTTGCCTCAGCCTTCTGCCTATCAACACCAGCCCACAGACCGATATTAAGGTATCCGATAGGCTTGCCATTACAATAGCAAAGTAAACAGCATGATTGCTAACAATCACACAAGTCGCCCCCACGATCAACAGCCAGATGAAGAAGAAGATATAGCCCATCCACCGCCGAACAAAAGACGACGGCAGTAACACTCGAACAGCGATGAGGTATTCGATCCCAACATGCTGCGTGAAGAATATCAACTTACTGGAATTCAGTTCCAGGTCGGAAAGAAAGTGAATGGTGAGCAGTATGAATGTTAATACAAACATCAGAGACAAGTAATGAAGGTCCATCATGCGCTTCATTGAAAAGCCGACGAGACCAGCATATATGCCCCAGAAGGTCAACTGGAGGAAGAAACCTTGGAAGGCTATGAGAAAGGCAGAGCTATAGAGTGCGAGCGGGCCTCCTTTGAGTAGATGTTTGTTCTGAGTGTGCAGTATTGGAGGGAAAAGTCGAAGATATTCCGGTCCGGTCTTATCGATATCTGCGTGGCGATGCGTGTTAGTATCCCTTTTTTTTCTGTCTTCTTCTTCTTCTTCTTAAAGAGCTTTGGCTTTTCCACGGCATCATTTACTCACGATTAAAAGTCGACACCACGTTGCCCATTTTGTAGCTGACCAGCAGATAGTTCGGGAAGGCAAAAAAAAAGAGTCAAAGGTCGTCTGGAGAAAGTTGATCCTAGGTGTACGAGAGTAAGATGCTCATGAACGCCTTCTGCGTCCTGTAACCATAATATGGAATTAATAGGCACGGCTGAAATAAAAACCCGACTATCGTTCAGTGTGCTTTGTACACGATAAGGTTTTGTCGAAGTACCAGATAGCGTCAGGGGCAAATAAGGCTCACGTCATCAACTATCATGAGGGAGAGTGGGGTATTTATATCGATGATCATGTAGTAAGCAGGCAGGATAAGGTGGATTCGGGCGTGAGTATGGGGTAATCGCCGATGATACGTATGTACCAGTATGTACTAGCGCGTGCAGCGTTGCCTTCCTGATTTTGGTAGATGGGCCTGACATGAGCAAGCACTCGCATTTCTTTTGTAGTGAGCTGTATGTAGATCACCCCCATAACAAACCACGTGGTAATTAGACTTCCTTTTAGATAGAAGAAAATCTATTTTTATATGCAGCACGCACGGGCTTTGGTAGTGTCATTCTACTTTCGGGACCCCGCAGATCCGGTTGTTTCCGCTTACTGATTGGCACAGTTCAAACCATGATACGGCACTTCTCCTTACGGTGGCATCAGCGCTGGTAGACAGATCGGTTCAATATAGCCGAGGCGGCTCTGCCATTCTGTAACGTCATTGTGTGTGAACGACGTGCTATGTGATATGATTAAGGAAAGTTCAGTTTCGACTGATCGATATAGTATCTACGATTCGTTCCTCATTCGTTCCATTAGATTTAACGTCGCGTTGGAGACACAAACTGAGCGAGAGTCTGACTATGGTCTCGGTGGTGATGAATGTTTGGAATAGCAGTTCGTTATCTAATCCTGCATGACAAGCAAGGATATTCGATTTAGAGCTTGAGTTGTTTATCGCGTATACTTTACCGGGGTTAAGCATAAGTTCGCAAACCAATCCAAAGAAGGAATAGACGTTCCTGGGTGGGCCTGTTTTATGATAATCATAGATAGGCTTTCCTAGTCTGTGCGAATGATCGCACAGTCAGAGTGGGGAATGATCAATCCGATCGGCAGATTGATTCGCGAACATGCCGCGGGTACTGTGCTACACAGTAGGGACATGTACAATGACATGGAGCACATTGTGGCATGTTCGTGAATCAATCTGCCGATCAGATTGGTCATTCCCCACTCTGCGCGCAGCTAGTGTGGTTTGGGATCAAAACCCAACATCTGCTCGTATGGCCTTTCTTCGGTATGCCCTCACTGGTCAAACTATTGGATATCTGTATGCTTCCTTATTGTTGGAAAAGAAATCTGGTACAACGCAGTGACAGTGCCTTTTTGTAGCAAAAGAAAATCCAAGAAAGAGATAGATACGTGTTGCCGTGTGTTGCATGGTCTGGCATAAGCTGACTCCTGGATACAGGGACATGGATAAATTTTATTTCCTTGTATCACGACTGCGACCACGGCATCTATCGGATAAGACAAGGGTAACTAGATGATGATCCAGCTACGCTGGTTAGCGACTCAAGAACTGATGTCAGAAGAGCGTACATGACTATCTCAGCTATATCGAATCTGACGGAAGCAGGCGCTATTACACGATGTTCGATGTCCTCATAAAGTTCTGTCAGCGTCTGACATCGATTGCCGGAAAGCAAGAGCATCTGAAGACGGAGATATAGTGAACATGCAAAAGCATACGATGCAACCATCAAGTACCTTCCAGTGGGAGTGCATGGTTGCTGACGACCCCGTGCACCGGCATACTGATCGTTGCAGATATACACGTGTATCTGAGGCTTGTACAGAAGCTGGAAGTTAGTTTGTTTTGGATGACTCATCATTCTGTCTATGTGATATAAGATTGACGAGATACCCCTGTTAGCATATCACAATGACAAGTCGCCTGTGTGATATATGTAGCAGTATTGCACGGCTGCAAAACAACCAGGTCATTTTGCTAGCTATCATAACACAATGCCATTCATCAACTTGATGCCGAAATCAAAGATCAGTGCAACCAAGCACAGTATAAAGCACAAACAGAGCCATGCAGCTCTTTCCTATGAATCCTCATCTGATCAATCGACAGACGACTACAGCGTTGCAGAAACGCCCGCTCCAGACTCGACAGGTGGGGACTTGCCTGACAACCTCACAGTTGAAGAAGACCATGGCCTACTTCTTCTTTCTCAATTACCGACATTTGACACTAGTCGGCTCTCATCGAATACGGGTACCACCGATCTCGCTGTATTGATCCATCGCCACTATCGTGCGTTCCGACCTACGGCATCACTTCCAAACCCTGATTGGACATGGAAGAAAGCCACAAAACAAGTGGTTGTGCTGCGAAAAGCGTTTCCTGCAATCAAAGACGCTGAAAACAGTGTACTAGCCGTGACGGCTTGGTTTCACTTCCTTTGCGAGATTGATGACGAGGTCGAACAGATGGAGAGTTCGGAGAGAGGACTACTACTTGGACGGATCACGAAGGCGCTGCAGACTGTCAGCGTAGACCCACTCCAGTCGGCGGAAGGTGGACATGCAAAACTCCTCACAGTCGTCAGCAGCTTCATTCGGCAATGCCAAGTAGTCTTATCACCTCAGGCTCTTACCCCGGTCTTCGCCGACATCATCGACTATATAGGGGGACTAAAGGAGGAGGCTGCTTACCAAGAGGGTACAGCGGCGCTGCCAACCATAGAAGACTATCTGCGGGTGCGCGTGGGAACGATAGGCCTACGACCTTTCTTTACCATCTTGAGACACACATTGGTCACCATGGAAGACCAAAAGAATATCAGTACAAGCAGCCTCAACGACAGCTCAAGCTTCTGGACATCGCCTCTGCACCAAAAACTGCTCACGTGCATACAACATACTATTGGGCTACAAAACGATATCGTGGGTCTTTCCAAGGACATTGAAAACGGCGTGCGGATGAATCTCGCCATGGTGCTACTCGAGCAACAGCATAAACCTACGACCGATCTCGAGGCCGTCAGCAAGGCACGTACTAAAGCTGTGTCGATCCATAACATCGAGATGCAAAAGGTGATGAGGGTCTGGGCCGACATCAAGGCAGCAGGGTACCCTGCCACGGTACAGATATATGCTCAGTCACTGGTGGCGTTTACCCGGACGCATTTTAGCTGGGCAGCGCACTCTCATCGGTACCAGTCGAAGCACACGAGTCTTTTGGAGATGTTGTCGAGTGTGGCGCAGAGTACGGCTGTGGAGGGACTGAGGTTCAAGGCGAGGGTCATACGGACGCGACGGTCGATGCAGAAGCTTTCAATCAGTCATGGGATGAGGTGATTCAGCATTCTTTTTTTCTTCTCGGTTCAGCGCTTGCATGATGAGATTTTAGATAGGCTATTTTCAACTTGGGTAGAGTATCGTTGGCATAAGCAGACTGGTTCTGGCATGTAGAGAATATGGAACATTGCACACTCCCAATTTCTGCGTGTGTGACAAGACCACCAGGACTTTTCTTACGTCATGATAGTCGGTGATAGCAAGATGGGCATTTTCTTCAGTTCAAAAGGTGGGTGGTCATACGTTTCTTGTCACGAGTGCTAGTCACGTGGTTTTCCGTAGCAAGCGCGGCTTATAGTGAGCCCAAATTGACCGTATGCCTCGGTTGGAGAGCACGTAGTCAGCAGAATGCAAACAAAGTTGTTTCTATCGGGTATGACGAGTTGCGCTCAGACATGGCGAAAGGTCCATGGTTGGTGCAAATCATTTGGGATGGCGACGAAGGAGCAGAGGACACGCCCACCTACGAAGCCAGCTAACTAGTGTGTAATGTAGTGAAGGATACCAAGGTCGGCCTTGATAGGCTGATGCGCAGCAGAGCCTAATATAACAAGCGGGCAGCAGCAAGATGTGCGGGGTGCAGCAGCGTCGAGAAAATGCAGTGTGACAAGGTAATTGGCACGTGGTGGACGGAGCAGACAGTCTCGGCCTTGGTCAGTCAATGTGCGCGCACTCCCGGGTCAGCACCATAATATTTTGACAGTATTGTGAATGTTGCATGGCAGTGATACACTACCTAGCAGGTGACGCATTTTAGCCTCGGTGCATGCCGGGTGTGCATCATGCATGCGGCTAGCTTGTTAATCTCCAATTGATTAAATGGAAAAACGAGGACAAAATAAGCTTTCTGCTTCCTTGGCAAGAGGAGACAAGCCTTCATACTTTACGAGATCCTCCAAAGAAAAGAACGTAGTTGTTGCAAACTACAGTACTGTGTAGAGTTTCAAAATTCACCCCCTAGGTCGAAAGCCCAAAAGTCTGGAAACGACCAGTTGCTGCCATCGATTTGCATGTCTTGCAACATGTCAAATGGGGAATACCTGTCGCTCAGAGAACTTCCAGAGTTGGGATCGGTAGTATTTGTCCCGCCCGGCTGAGTGACAGCCGCGCTTCCGAATGCTGTTTGGTTTGTCCCAGATGTACCGTCAGTTTCAAAGCCATTGTGAGGCATACTATGCCTGGCATACTCAGACTGCGAAGCTCTTGACATTGTAGTACGGAGAGAGGCAGCCAAATCATTGTTCGGGTCTTGCTGCAAAGTTACCACCTTGGATGCCAAAGCGGTAAAATAGCTAATGGCTTTCCGGCATCTAGAAACGATTTCATCGCCTGGATTGTCAACCGGAGTAGTGGATATAGACGACGAAGGTGGGGGTGGCAATATGCCCACTGCGGCAGAAAGAATCCAGTACTCCATGTATGCAGTACCTAGTCTGAGTACCTTTTGCTCAAAAATTTGTCTTGTACGTTCAAGAATCTCGAGAGACGATGTACATAATGTCTGGACTAGGAAGGAGTTTTGCGGTAATGAGGCAAGGTAGACTGTATCACCAAGCGGGGCCCCACGTTTGGTCATCGTAATATCCGGTAAACGGGCTTTAGGGTCGGCGTGTTGAGTGTTAGGGGTGTCGGCTGACGATACCAATGACTTCACCGGGCTGGTTGCGCAATGCCGGAATGTTAATTGAGACAGTGTTAAACCAACTCTCATAGCGTCGTTGCGGGTGTTACTAAGAAAAGAGATACCCTTCAATAGCAGGTCGCCATGTATCGCGATCATGGAATTACAAACATCCACACATGTCGTGAAGGAGTACATGAAGCGGTTGTTTTTGGCCGCTGATTGGGCAAACGGCTTGTGCAATATGAGAAGATATTGAATTAGCTGCAAGCGGAGAAGTGCAGATGGCACTACGGCAGATTCATTTTTCCAGTTGGGCAAGGCGGAGACAGCTGTATGTATCTGAGCGTCAAAGTGCAAAACATCGGCATACTGGATATTGCTGGATGGCGTGTTCAGCAGGTGCGTAAGATGAATGCGAAGTGGCAAAGATTTCAGGCTTGCAGTAATAAATGAAGTGGAGGTAAATTCTCCGTCTGGTTGATCTGGTCGTAGTTGCTTCGTGTTCGCAGAGAAGACCTCATCTGCAAGATGAGCTGGCGCTGGTGTGTCGAAGTACAGGGCCGTTAGCCCAGATTGAAGACCAGTGTCTACTGAGGATTGCAGTTCTAATTCCATAACGGTAATCCATAGTCGCTCCCTCATTTGCTGGTCGAAGGTTGAAATTCTACCGCTTCCTTGCAAGGTCGGGTCGCGGTGCATACCAGATGCTAGAGCGAGCCGAAGAAGATCACCAGAGTTAATCCAGTCCTGCTTTATCCCCACACAGTTGACCCGCTTAGCAAGGAGCAGAAGACATGCTGACTGGAGGAAAGATAGGGTTGCCTGCTTCCGAGGTTGCAGATTAATCCAAATTTCGCAGGTGTGAATGAGGTCCTGAGCGGTTTGCCGATCAACAGTCGTATCGCCGACGAAGACATCGTCTTTCTGGTCAAGGCATTGTGTAATGGAGATGATCAACACGAGCAGAACGGCAAAGGTGACGCGTTCTTTGTGGGCGCAAGTATTTTCCCAGAAGGCCTGGTATTCTTCCCAAAACGATGGCGCATGCAGGATTCTGTAGCTGGTTTCACAGGTCCGAAAGTACTCAGCAGCCTGCGTGTCGACGACACTCTTCTCAGGAAGTACAGCCAATACGTCAGCCTCAGCACTATGGAGTGCGGCATTAAACTCTCTAGCCGACTTCTTCCTTCGATCACGGAACGCTCTGAAGTCATTTCCGACATGTACGAGAGAACGATCTAGGTTGAGAGCTTCGCGCGTGAAGAGATGCAGCTCATGGTACTTGCAAGAAAGTCAGCTCCCATGAGGCATCCACAAACGGACTTGCTGTGAGAGATACCGTGGATACGATGCTCATAACACTTGTCACACCATGGAATTGGGTCTTGAACCCTTTCCCTCTGAGCAAAATGTCCTCTGTAAACGTTGGCTCTTCGGGCAGGACGTCATGGTACTGTGACTTGTGTTTGGTCTGCCGCTGGGCTAGCTGCTGCTCTAGCAATGCAATGCGCTCTTCTTGAGCTCTGACCTTCCGCTGCAAAATGTCGCGTGTGTCGGCAGACTGGTTGATGTTTGCAGGTCGCTCCGCCAGCAGGGTGGAAGTGGCATCAACAGCTCGTGTGGCTACAGTGACATTGGACTCTTCCAAGAGACGCGGATCATATGTGCATTCGTGCCGTCTTCCCGTCTTTTGACACCGCCCGCATACTGGAAAGACGCGGTCGCATTTCATTTTGCGGCCGCGACAGGCGTAGCATGACAGAACCTTGCGCTTCTTGCCCGTGCGCTGCTGAGACGGCCCGTCGTTGCCTTCTGGAGAGTCGCGCTCCGGGGGCGTGTCTTCACGCGATCTGTCGCTGATCCATTCGGCACCTGGAGCAGACATGGAAACTCGGGACGGCAGCAGCACCAATCAGTGTTGCGATATCGAGGACAACGTGTCAGGGTGAGCGGTTGCGGAAATGGAGGGGATGACATGCACGCGGCCCGGCGTGGATTCGCGGCGCACTCTCGGACATAACCAACAACTTAGGGCGGGGATAACCTACTATGACTGCTGGGTTTGCCTGCACCCTTTCACCCTCTCACCCTTTGAGTTTGCCATCGACAAGATTCCAGGATACCGTCTCTTGCGCTGCCTCAGCATCGGACAAAATCAAGAGGTCGCCTTGGTCGTGTCCTGGGCGAACACCATGTCGGCCGAGTTGATGCATGGAACATTGATTTGCTCCATCTCGAAGCGGGGAACCCTTGCGCTACCCCACAACTCATGAGTGCTGACCCCAGGCACAATCTTACAGTCGACCTCTCATTCCTTGCTATGCAGGTCATGTTTATTGCAAGCAAAACTTCTTGCCAATCTGTCCCCTGTCCAAGACATGTCAATGGTCAGCCAAGTACGTGGTTCTTTCCAAGAAGAGGCTATCACAGCCCGAATCGGGGCCGGAAAGTGGATGACGAAACATGCTCCATAAAAACAATCTATATACACACGAGACTGAGCGAATAACAGCTAGACAAACTCTCCGTGTTTCGTGCCCAGGGCGCGGCAGTGAGCTTCGCATGCTTAGCCGAACTTGCCGTTCATGCCAATGGTTTCAAGACGGCCAATCGAAGTATATGCTTACTTTCTGCGACAAAGCTAATTTTTGACCTACCGCGCCTCTTATAGTATGTCTAAATTGCGCATGACTTCAGAACTGACTGGCTGTCAAGTCAATGGAGAGTATTCAGTCTCGTCACCAAAAGGTCTGACTATTACTGTGATTTTGTAAAGAGGTAAATGTTCTTGCTTATTGCATAAAGCTTGCTACACATCCTGCAGAATGCTGTTGCCAGCTGTTGGTGACCACTACTAGCAGTTCGTACAGGCATCAAGCTATATGTGCAGTGCGTAAGCACACTACAATTTGGCGAATTTAGCCTACACGTGAACCGCAGAACTTAGTACAATGGCTCGGAGTCCAATATACACAATGTTTAGCTTGTATCAAGGATACGACGGACAAACTCTCCCATCTATCAGTCGGTGGTGAAACGGGATTCCGGACCGCAGCAGCCTTCGTGATGGACATATATAAGTGATCTCTTTCAGCCTCTCTCTTGGATATCACACTCAACACACACACATCAGCATCTTCAACATGTACCGGACTCTGGCAGTCACCGCTTCTTTTCTCCACGCAGCTCGCAGCCAGCTGGTGGGAACGCAGACGCAGGAAGTGCATCCTAAGTTGTCATGGCAATCTTGCACTGCCGCGGGAAGTTGTACCACCCAAAACGGCGAAGTTGTCGTTGATGCCAACTGGCGTTGGCTTCATACCAAGGAGGGGTATGTATGAGACACGATATTCTAGTTCATTTGTACTGACTGAACTCGAGTTACACGAACTGTTACACTGGCAACACTTGGGACACGAAATACTGCCCCGACAACAAGTCGTGTGCTGCCAACTGCGCCATCGATGGTGCGGATTATTCAGGCACTTATGGTATTACTACCAGCGGCAATGCCTTGAAGCTCAACTTCGTCACCAAGGGCTCTTATTCCACAAACATTGGGTCACGTAACTACCTGATGAAGGATGAAAAAACCTACCAGATGTTCAAGTTCACGGGCAACCAAGAGTTTACGTTCGACGTCGATGTCTCCAAGCTACCCTGCGGTTTCAATGGCGCACTGTACTTTGTCTCGATGGATTCAGACGGTGGTATGAGCAAGTACCCAGGTAACAAGGCCGGTGCCAAGTACGGAACTGGTTATTGCGATGCCCAGGCTCCAAGGGATCTCAAGTTCATCAATGGCGAGGTGAGTGACAATATATGTGCTCATGGAATTTTGCAGGCATGCTAACCATCATTTCAGGCCAATGTTGAAGGCTGGAAACCATCGGCGACTGACCAGAATGCCGGAGTTGGCGGTTATGGTTCCAGCTGTGCAGAGATGGACATTTGGGAGGCTAACTCGGTCAGCACGGCAGTCACTCCACACTCTTGCAGCACGATTGAACAAACGCGCTGCTCAGGTGATTCATGTGGAGGTACATACTCGTCCACACGCTATGCTGGAGTGTGCGACGCGGATGGCTGCGACTTCAACAGCTACCGCATGGGTGTCAAAGACTTTTACGGAAAGGGCAAGACTGTGGACACATCTCAAAAGTTCACAGTCGTTACACAGTTCGTTGGATCTGGTGACAGCTTGGAGATCAAGCGCTTCTACGTCCAAGGCGGCAAAGTTATCCCTCAGCCCTCATCCAAGATTCCAGGAATCGACGGCAACACCATCAACTCCAAGTTCTGCGACCAGCAGAAGTCCGTCTTCGGCGACCCAACTGACTTTCAGAAGAAGGGTGGCATGGGAGGCATGGCCAAGGCTCTTGCTAATGGTATGGTTCTTGTCATGAGCGTGTGGGATGACCACAACAGCAACATGCTGTGGCTCGACTCTACATACCCCACCGACAAGGACCCAGAAAAGAACCTCGGTGTTGCTCGAGGAGAATGCGCGACGACCAGCGGTGTACCAAAGGACCTTGAGACCAACAACGCAGATGCTACGGTCACCTACAGCAACATCAAGTTCGGTCCTTTGAACTCCACTTTCAGTGCGCAATAGAAGGGCCGGGGGATGACTCTAAAGGGGAGAAGGTGGTTTGGGACAGGGGGTTTCTACGCTTGTGGTGGATCTTTCATTCTTTGATCAGTTGCGACAGTCACTCGTTTGGCATAAATCAGTATGCAACAAATCAGTCCCTGATCAGTTCATTTAGAACAGCACTTTATCATTTTTCTACATGCTGGTGTTTATAGAATTCACAACCCTTACTCAATATCCGCTTTCCGAGCAAACAGAAGTGATACTGAGGAGATCATGTGGACGAATTACCCCTCACTCACTCTCCCCCTCCCCTCAAGGGTGAAAGATGAAGGGCTAAACAGTTCTTATTTTCACTCCCATGTTCAGGTGAACGGTCATTCACTAACAGAGAGGATCTAGCAGTTAGGCTGAATTCACTCTCATGGTAGACTGGCTTCACTTGCTACCGCTACCACAAACCAAAATTGCTCCCATATATTCCCTCGCTCTCTTTCGCAACTCAAAGTTCACGAAATTGAAATCGTATCCAAAACCATCAGCTCACAATCTACATCTACAATAGTCTCGACATACAACCAGCCATGTACCACCCAACTAGCTTGCGAAGTATGGTGACAGGCTCAACCGTGTTTGACTACAATGCGCTTCCCGAGTGTGCAAGCATCTGCAAGGTACTTCAGGCATCAGAGGCAAATTGTGTTCCACCAGTTGCCCCAGTATCCAACCACTTCACCTACCAAGATTGTGTCTGTCAATCGACATACCTCGGAGACCTACACAAAAGTGGTACTATCTGCCATGAAGTATGTAGTGATGAGGATGACGAACTCATCCATCAATACTACAATCGAATGTGTGGCCAATCCGACATACCAATGACAACAACTTCCCATCTCCCGCCGACTACGACCTTGTCAATAGCCACCTTGTCAAAGGCCACCTTGTCAACACTTACCACTGCATACACAACTTTGGTAACGGTCCAGACACCAACGACGTCTGCTCCACCGCCAACCCAAACACACGTGGAGGTCATCGAAGACCAAAAACCATGGTAGGTGAAATGATCACACCGTATAAGCACACTGCTGATGAACCCGTAGGCTACAACAATACGGGAAATACTTCGCCATAATTGGGGGCGGCTTGGTGATCCTCATTGCGATCCTCATCATCCTCATCCACTTCTACAAACGCCGAAACCGCAAATCCGCACTCGAGAACACCGGACAAAACCACCCATTCATGCCTCTCCAGGACATCCACCCTCTCCCAAGCCAACCCGTTAACCCAAATACCCATCATCTACCGCCTCTGCACCCACATTCGAGTTCCGAAAACGATCTGGGCTATCCGATCACATCCCCAGGCCTAACCCGTCCCCCACCAACCTTCACACCCGGTGCCACCATACGCGCATACGCGAGCGATTCGCAGAACGACTTGCGCGAGATGCAGCGCACGGCAGGACGATGCGGTACGCTTTGTCGCTCGCTGAGTCGCACCGAGCGATTGATAATGGAGCGCATCCGGATGACTGGACGACCGGATATTCCTATCAGCGCGACCCCGAAGATCGAGAGGTGAAGCAAGCTTATAGCGGTGTCTCTTCGATTACGAAGTATAGTAAGGCAAGATTGGGGTTATGATGGGGCAACGGGGATTTATGAGGAATGGACGGGAATGAAGTGGGGGTCTTGGGGGGTTCTTTTGGTAGTATTGCTGCACGGACGATGTGTGCGATCCACTCTTGACCCATTTATGTGCCGCATGTTCGCAGCGGGTCGGGCGTGGATTTAGTCGGGGCTTCCGGTGTAGACGGGAAGCTAGCTTGATTGTCTGAGTTATATATTTCATCATCATATTATCTATGGTCTTTTCTCTTTGCTCTTTTATAGCTCTTGCCGTGAGTGGTGTGCACTGCGTGAACACGAAGCATGTTAAGTACATGAGATAACTTGACAACCTCACAGCGATCTATTCGGTGCACGATTTCGAAAAGCACACATATTAGCTCCCAGATTTTCTTTTTCTTTGTCTCCCATTCGTTCTTGCACTGCCTTCCTGGCTCCGCACGCATGTGTGTGTGCGACTTTCACTATGATAAAACGTTCTTTGCATTATGAGCCTCAAGTCTGCCAAACAATGAAAGAAGAGAAACGAGCTGTGACAACCTCATTGCGTTGGATTTGATCCAGAACGATGTCGAATATGAACATCACATTGTGCCAGGGATATGCCAGTGCGGTTACTGAGCTCAAGCCCGCCTTCATTCGAGTCATTCCTGTATCGTGGCTATTACTAAACAAATCTTGATGTCGCAGTCACAGTGTAAGAGTTCACTAATTCGGACAAATGGAAATGGCGTGGTATCGTCTCATCCTTTTATTGTAGTACGATACCCAGGTCACTTCTTGGCTCATTCTTATGCCCGTCGAATTCGGAACATTACTACCCATCTCGTTGCCGACCGAAAGAAGAAATTATATAACCCGCAGGCGACACCCAGCTCTTCGGGCTGGCAAGCCAAGTAACAGACACCGACCAGAAACTATGCAGAATAGGTGTGCTGCGTATGCGGGACGTCGGATGTCATGTTTCGACCACCGAACTGTTGAGGTGGTATGATTGCCTCTCGCAAATAAGCATACCACTACGTACCCGTTCCGCCCACACGCACATCCCGCCTGGCCCAATCGCGGAAGCGTGAGCGTAATTGGCCCGTTGTTGGGATGGATGCTTTGTTGAACTAGTCCCCATTTACTTGTCTTGCCACTTAACGGTTGAACTACTTACCCCTCATTGTGACATATTTGACATAAAGTACATGGGGATGTATGTACACTAGGGAAGAGATATGGATGGAGACTAGCGTTTCGGAGGTAGATGCTGTTTTCCACGTGGGGTGCCCGGTCGAAGAGACAGAAACATCGAAGACTACGTACTTGAATGGCGCTGGGACTAAGGGTTTTCCATGTGTGGACGCGTGTCGAGGGATGTTGTGATTCTTGTCTAGCATACCTTGTCTTTTGGCGGAGTTTCGAATTTCCCGGACTACGAAGTCGCTTGTATCTCATGTAGTTTGTCGCACTATGTACCTGCGCTTTTACATAGCAAAGATAATGCGCATAGAAAGAGTATCATGATCACAATGTTGTGGTTTCGTAACGAGGCTCTCAAGTTGCGGACCTACCCGCGCGTCATCGATTTTGATAGGGCGGAGCTCTGGGGATTTTGTCTCCCACGTTCGCTCCCTTTGTCATTGCGGCTCTCGGGCCCATCTCCGCCCAGCCCCAGACCTTGTTCTTAGAGCGTAATAGGAGCGTAATAGGCCCGTTTGCAGTGTTTTCTTCTTCCAGAAATGAGCCTTACTGATGTCAAACAATTTGCGGCCGAAACTAAACTGGCTGTTCTTCTTGGCCATCTAGCAACGGCCTCTTCCTTTCTCTTTGCACATCAATACATCGAAGCGCGTCTTCTACAACAGTTCTCCTGCTGACAAAACATCTGCTCGAGTCTAAGACGAATCGGTCACCGAGTCAGAGGAGAGCTCTTCAATGGGCTAGGCCATCGGGTACAACCTTAGTGTTCCCGCTTCGGTCCTTGTCGTCCCGCAATACACCCGGTGTAGATACGCTTCGACTTGGCGGGGTATGCAAACCCGTTGGCATCTTCACCAGAAAAGTTACTTGCAACATCTTGAAAGCTTGAGTACTAATATATACACTACGCGGCGAGCCTCACTGCAACTTCTTAATCAAAATCACCACGGTACTCGCTACTACCAGCGGGCTTCAAGCAGCATCCCGGAATGTTTCGGGTATACAGAAATCTAGGTTTATGAATTCTGACCTCTGCTGAGACCAGTGCATATCCCGATGAATGCATGTACTCACAAGGAAACACGGAGAAAGTTGCGGCCGTACTATAACATATGTGCGTTCACAGCACCGCACGTGCTTCGGTGGTTTTCCAGGCGCCTATGTACGAGATGGGTCCACATCTGAAAATACAACATGGTCAGTTGTATGCTTGCGGCAGGGATGCAGAAGAGCCTCAATACAAGGATTGGCTATGGATTAGACTGCGGATTACCGAGTACGGTAAGCTAGCTACTCGTACACCAAGCTCCACCGCAGTTCCATATCTCCTCCGAGTGAAGTTCTGAAGGGAAATACTGGCGACGATACTTCCAGCGAGCGTGTCATGTCAGTGCATTCACAGCATTGTCTAGAGTGCTGGCCACCCCACACGCAATACGCGCCAAGTCCTTGGCCGTCACAGTCTTTGTACGTTGTATGGCCGGACAGCAGCCACTCCCATTGTGTCAGCATCGCATAGGGAACCAGACTTTCCTACTTGGGTAGAAGGCGGAAGCAACCGGACTGCAGGTTCACTACGGATGCCCGATGCACGTTGTACAAGGTCAATCAAAAGCACTCTATCCCCGTGAAATTTCACAGCTAGGAACTGCTATGATCGCCGTCCAGGTCCTGCTGTTGAGTAAACACCCACAAACCAGGTCATCCAGACAATGGTCTGGCTAATATCAATCTCCGACCCTTGCCAAAAACCCCACTTCTGCTGCTTACCTATATCATGATGTCCCATTAGCAGGAAGAAAAAACGGGCTCTTTTCACCGCCCTGTGTGGAATTTCTCAAAACTAGGGCTTTTTCCCAGACTGGCGATTCCGAGACTCCTTTGTTGTCACTCCCAACTTGTTTCGACAGAATCGCGGTTGAGCAAGCCAGACAATATGGCAGACGAAAAGCAAGCCGTTGCTACAGAGCAAGGGACCTCGACGCCCAAGACGATGGAAGAGGTCAAGAACCCGGCCGTCGTTGATACCGTACACCAGGATGAAGCGCTCCGCGTGCTCATGCAATATGATGGAGACGAGACGTGGACGCCAGAGGAGGAGAAGAAGCTCGTTCGCAGGATCGACAAGAAGTTACTGACGTTACTGATTATAACGTACGGTCTCCAGTACTACGATAAGGCCATGTTGTCGCAGGCTGTAAGTGTCTTTTCTTTTCCTCTTGTTATTTGAGGTTATCTAACTGACATCTTCTAGGCGCTATTCGGCTTGCGCGAGGACCTGCAGCTCAAGACCGGCGACCGATATTCCTTCTCAGCCTCCATCTTCTACCTCGGATTTATCGTAGGAAGTTACCCAGCGGTTGTCATGGCTCAGCGCTGGCCCATCGAGCGCGTTGCATTCGGCATTTTGTTCGTGTGGGGCGTTTGTCTCATGTGTTCGGCCGCATGCACGAACTGGCAAGGCTTCTACGCGCAACGCTTCTTCCTCGGTTTTCTGGAGTCGGGCGTGTCGCCCATGTTCATGTTGATTGTGGGTGGGTGGTATAAGAAGAGAGAGCAGGCACTACGAATGGGTGCGTGGTACTGCGCGACTGCGTACGCGTCGGCTGTTTCACCGTTGATTAACTATGGCCTTGGACATATCAAGGGCGGGAGCTTGAACAGCTGGCAGTACATGTAAGAAACCCCCATTGAATCACGTTCAATTGGAACTGACATATATGTTAGGTACCTTTTCGCTGGTGGTATAACAGTCCTGTGGGCATTCGTCATCCTCTTCTTCTTGCCGCCTGACCCGATTCGAGCAAAGGGCTTCGACGAACGTGAGCGATACATTGCCGTAGCTCGTATGAGGGAAAACAATTCCGGTGTGCGAAACAAGCACTTCAAACTCGAGCAGCTGTGGGAATCACTATACGACGTCAAGTTCTGGCTTGCATTCAGTATGTCATTCCTCCTGATGATTGCCAACGGACCTGTTTCCAGCTTCCTGCCTATCATCATTTCAGGTTTCGGATTCAACCGACTGAATTCGTTGCTCCTTGTCATGCCTGCTGGTGTCATTATCGGATCGATTACACTAAGTGTGACTTACTTGGCCTATCGTGTTCAAGGAATTCGAACTTGGATCATTGTGGGCTGTCAATGCGGCACTATTATCGCGTCTATTATGCTTTGGCAGCTGCCACAAAGCTCAAAGGGAGCGCTCCTATTTGCATGCTACATTCTCTCTACTTTTGGTGGTAGTTATGCTGTGCTCATGGGCTTGTCAGTGGCCAATACAGCGGGATACACCAAGCGATCGATCACGAGCTCTGGCATTTTCGTAGGCTACTGTCTTGGTAAGTTCTCAACTGCTCAAATCTCACATGATGTAAGCCATTAACTCTCGACTCAGGCAACTTTCTCGGCCCATTGTTGTTCAAGCCAAAGGACGCCCCAGTTTACGCCCCCGGTTTCAAGGCCGTCCTTGGAACCGCAGTCGCTACTGCAGTTCTTGCAGTCGTGTACCGCTACGTTTGTGTTTGGGACAATCACCGACGCGACAAATCCGGTACCCTCGAGGGATTCGATCATGCTTACGAGGATGATCTTACGGACATGAAGAATCCTCAGTTCCGTTACACGCTCTAAATCGCGCCAAACTTGAACTTTCTCTCAGAACCCCAAGATGGTTTCATGATTGTAAGCCTCGGGAGTATATCAGAAGATGCAATATATTGATCTTTTCGCTGTCAGGAATGTAGTCTCGGGATGATGCACACGTAGCTCGAATACCAAGGATTTCAACACTGAATTGCTTCTCTTTCAATCTGTTTAGCTTTTGTTGATGGACAATGTACTAAACCCAGTCCCTGCAGCCCGCGCCAGGTTTGCAGCGATGCAAAGGTACCTTCCATTCTCAACACGAATGACGCAAACAACCGACCCAACCAGGAATTCGATTTCGAATCAAATTCTCTTGAAATGGACTCTGCCTCGAACCCGATTTTATGTCAAAAATTTGATATCGCCCGATAGTCGTAATGGGATAACTTTGACTAGGTCTATCTTTCCATCGCAAGACATTGTTGGAATGTTTCATTCGCTTGTGTAACCGTACCCAGCTGACACTGTGTCTTTGACAATGTCTGATCGAAGTCATATACGCCCTAGCGAATGCAATTGATTCTCACCTTCATGGTGTAAGACGTACTGTGAGCAACCTGTTTTGAAGTCGTCTCAAAAAAACGAAGCGCAGATCCAAGACGACTCAAAAATGTCTTCGAACATGCGATCTAGACACATCAATCCAAAAGTATTAATATCCCCGTTTTTCAAGTACAGAATACCTACCTCAACAACAATGAATTCAGACGACTCTCTCCGCGGTCAACTCCGCCAACTCTTCGGTCTGCCCTCGAAACTCGAGGCAACAAAATCCGCCGTGTTGGACGCCCAGCAAAACCACGGCGAACGCGTTGGAAAATGGCGATGTCTTTGCGGCCATTTGAACACAATACTGCATCTCGCCGGAAAGAACCCTCATCCCCTAGGCCTACTTCAATGCCGTAGTTGTCCACTGGTCTGGTACCCGAACAGCACGCCGACGTTCACGAGCCAAAGCCTCAACATCACCTGGAAAACCATCTCGTCCAACGCTAGCGAGGACACACGCATCGTTCCTCGACCGCGGAACCCCAGGTCGCAGCACATCTACGTTTGTCTGGGCCACGGCTGCGGCCTGAGCTGGCGTACGGACATCAAGAGGGAGTGGTTGAGCGGGAACAAGAGGCACATTCTGCTCTTAGGCGGAAAGCGTGGGAAGTTGCATTGTGACTGTGGGATGAAGATTTTCGAGCCTGGGGCATACGAAATCTTTGAGATTGAGAAGCGGTTTGACGATAGGCTTGCGGCTTCGGCGGCTTTGGGTGTTGGTGGGGGAGAAAAGCGCCGTGACGAAGGCCAATCGCAGTGCGGTTAATATAGAGGCGCTGTCTTGTGATTTCCTAGGGTTGATATGCATCTATGAATTCACGAGGGGATGGCTGGTGGTGGGTAGAGTTGCGATGGATAGTATGGTGGCAGTATCTTGTCTTCACGTATTAGATTTCATATGCAATAGATTTTATTTTCCGAATGCCTTCAGTAACAAAGAACCAGACCGTACATGAAACGAGCGCTACCACCACCAGCGGAGGTATTTAGAAGAGGCAACAAAGTCCGCGCCGTCCAGTTGGAGTTTAGATGCCGAGATAGCAGCTAAGCCCTGCCAGGGCTAGATTCATCTTGGGGATCGGACAACCTGCGATAACGACGCGCCATCTGCCTCGGCGCTTTGCCCAAAACATGGCTTTCCTGTAACCTCTCCCAGTAACCCCAGCTCGAAGCCAGCAGCAGCATTTACATATCCAGTTGTTTGCGCAGCGGTTGAAATGCAAGGTACCTTACCCCGCGTCCGCGTCGTTAGCGACTCGGCAGCCAAAAACCCCGCCACGCGGGTAAGACACCCTCTTATCGTCTCTAATGCATCGTACATGCAATCAAGCAACCCAAGATCTAAAGAAGGAAAAAACATATGGGAAATCAGGAAGTCTTAACAATGAGCTCATTGTTGCCTGATGAAGCACCCCCTTTTTTCCAACATTCACCAATGCTTATCACATCTTGACATCTCTTATCAGCGCTTATCACCAGCTATCACCAGCTATCACCACCACCCTGGCTCCTCTCGTCTCGGTGCCTCCGCATACAGAATAGTGGGAGCAACGCCCAGTTTCTTGGAATGCACGCTTAATACAGCTCGTGAGGGACGGAAGGTGCGGATAGGGTACTGCGTACACGGGCGTCCTATCAATCGTTGCTACCTTACCGGGAACTTGAATCGGTGTCGGAACAATGGCGCGCGGGTGAACTTCACAAAAGCAACGCTATCCGTTGAGTCTTAGTGGCGAGACCCGGCTGAAGCTGATGCATAATTGAATACCTTTCCCTGTCTCCTTGTCTCTTTCTCTTTCGTTCGGTCTCTCTCCTCAAGACTCCCTCTCTCTCCCAACTGAAACTGCGCGCCGATAGGGGAAAGCGCAACATCATGTCGGAAAAAAAGGCGGATGAGATTGTTGGCAATAGCCAAGATGTCGAGTTTGGCGTTGGAAATGTACAGCAGGCAAGGCCGAGAAAGACTTCAGCGGTTGATCCTACCGTTATTGCGGGAGAAATCTTCGATGATCGATATGAGACTACTCAGCGAGGTCTGAAGTCACGGTATGTCATTCATCCTATCTCTTGGATACGTACGTCAGTAAGGAGACGGCTAATCGACGCAGACATGCTCAGATGATTGCTCTGGGTGGCACAATTGGAACGGGTCTCTTCGTCGGCAGTGGTGTCACTCTTTCTCGCGGAGGTCCAGCCTTCATCCTTGCATCTTTTTGCGTCATGTCCTTTTTGATCTTCTGCACCGTCGCCGGAATCATTGAAGTCGCTGCCTATCTGCCTACTCCCGGATCCTCGATGAACCTCTTCGGCGCGCGCTACGTATCTCGCTCGCTGGGTTTTGGTCTCGGATGGCTCTACTTCTACTCTCTTGGTATTTTGGTGCCATACGAGATCACGGCTGCTGCGCTCGTCATCGAATACTGGAGTCCACCCGTGAATATCGCAGTCTGGGTCACAATCATGATCATTGTGATTGTGGGCCTGAACTGCTTCCCAGTAAAGTTTTATGGCGAAACCGAGTTCTGGTTTGCTGGCACGAGTAAGTTGCTTTCCCATTCATCTCCAGCTGAAGATGAGAAAGAAGCTGACTTTTATGCCCTCAAAAACAGAGGTCATTATGATTCTGGGTCTCCTATTGCTTTCATTCATCCTCTTCTGGGGCGGTGGCCCACAACACGACCGCCTCGGCTTCCGATACTGGAAAGATCCTGGAGCAGCGAATACCTATCTTGAACCAGGGAATACGGGTCGCTTCGTTGCTTTGTTGTCTACCTTGGTTCTCTCAGCCGTATGCCAATCCTCTCCATTCCGCCGCCAGTGTCAAATTTACTAACCCCGAAAACAGTTCCCCTTCTCCTTCGCCCCCGAACTTCTCGTCGCTACTGGCGGCGAAATGCAATCCCCCCGCCGCAATCTCCCTACCGCCGCTCGCCGCTACATCTACCGCCTCGTCATCTTCTATGTCTTCGGTGTCCTCGCCATCGGCGTAATTTGTCCCAGTAACGATGAGAGTATTACCTCTGGTGGCGCCGGCGCCGGCTCCTCGCCTTTTGTGGCTGGTATCAAAAGAGCAGGCATACCCGTCCTTGACAGCATCATCAATGCCGGTATCATCATCAGCGCCTGGTCGTCTGGAAACTCGTTCTTGTTCCTGTCCAGCCGCAGCCTGTACGGTCTCGCGCTATCAGGAAATGCGCCATCCATCTTCAAATCGTGCACAAAGTCCGGTGTGCCGTACTACGCCGTCGCTGCATCGTCGCTTTTCTGCGCCCTGGCCTATCTTAATGTCGGCTCATCGTCCGCGGTGGTCTTCACCTGGTTCGTCAACCTGACAAATACCTCTGGTTTCATCTCGTGGATCTGCTGTGGTATCATCTTCTTGCGTTTCCGCAAGGCATGCGACGCACAAGGCATCACGGATTTGCCGTATCGCTCTCCCGTCGGCAAGTGGGGCGCATGGACTGTCATTGTCGCATTCACCTTCCTCTGCCTCATCAACGGCTTCGACGTCTTCTGGCCCGAGAAATGGAACGTTAGCTCCTTCTTCACCGCCTACGTCGGTATCCCCATGTTCTTCCTCTTCTACGGTGGCCACCGTATCTGGGCGAGGAAAGATGGCTGGGCATATGATCCTCTCACAGTGGATTTGCATACGGGCTTGGAACAAGTGCTTGCTGAGGAGAGGCCGGCGAGGATAATCAAGGGCCCGTGGTGGAAGAAGATTACACTGATTTGGCAGTAAGACAGAGTCGTATATATGACATGGGGAAACAATGCTTCATATAGAAACATGCAAATCAAAAGAGCAAAAAAACTTTTGGTGTATTCGTACACGGCATCCTGGCATAGCCTGGGCGTTGTTCGAAATCCCCAAATTCTCCGGAAAAAAAAGGTACTTCCATATGTACATATGTGCGGCCAGTGTCCACAAAACGCCAGTGCTAAAAAAAAATGTTCCCCATCATGCCTACGTTCACCACGTCAATTCTTTCTCCGGCCGGTGCATCATTTGCTGTGGCACACAGCCCCACGAGCAAACGCTAACCTTGAACGGATGAAAGTATCCATTGCCATTACTCCAAAACTCGATCCACTCGGCACGCGCCACAACATACTGCTTGCGACACGCATGGCACTCACGAAAGACACTGTAACCGCCCTCGGCCGTCCTATCCGCCTGCGCGAGTATCTTCTCCGCTGCGCGTGGAATCTCGTATTCGCCATTATTACTAATCATCCTGCGGAGGTCGGACGTAGAATCTGTCTGCAGCGAGCGGGTCAAGGTAGCTGTAAGGAGAGACGGGACTTTTGAGTGTTCAGGTGGAGCGAACCAAGGGAATGAAGGGACGCCGTAGGTTCCACGGGAGGTTTCTACGATGACGGGGTATTTTTCGTAGTCTGAGGCGGGGAGGGAGGGGGAGCCGCGGAGGAGTGAGCCGGTTTGGTCGTAGTAGGATACTAGAGTGCGGGCAATGTAGCGAGGGAGGTAGATGAGGAGGAGTTCCTCGCCTATGTCGCGGACGTGGAGAGAAGGGTGGTGCGGGTAGAAGCCTATGTCTTGTTCGCTGTCGGGCCCGCTGCTGAAGCACGTGGCCCAGGATTCAAAGTAGCGAATGCGCCAGACGATTGAGTCGCGGTCTCTGCACGTTGGGAGCGACTCGTAAAGGTGGACTAGTTCGCTGCGTGCGTGGTGGCGCAGACTGTCGAGGTCATAGGAGCCCTTGTCGAGATGTTGGGTGTAGACTTCTTCCCCAGGCACGCGAGTGTGAAAGCGTTTGGACGTCATGGGTTCTAGCAGGTCGCTTCCCATGGTAGTGAGACGGCCTAGCTTGCCGTACGGCCAGAGGAGGCTAACGACATCGAAAGGCAGGCACTTGAGCTTGTTTTGCGAAACGTACAGCTCCTCCAACCTTCTCAGTCGACGAACATCTTGTGGTAACTCTTCAATCTCGTTCTCACGGAGAGCGAGGCTGTTGAGGCATGTGATGCTGAAGAGTGAGGGAACAAGGCGTCGAAGTCGGTTTTTGTTAAGGTTAAGGTGGATCTCAGGCTCAAAGGACCGAAACTGGCCTTCGGCTGGAGCCTCGCGATCGTTGACGAGCGGGTCCTTGATGACGAACCTGAGCTCGCCAATGCGTGTGATATCGCTGTCGTAAAGGCCCTGACCTTCGAAATCATACGTCTCCCGGTCCTTGTCTAGACCCTCGTCAAGCTGCCAGTTGAAAGCACGTTCGGCATCACTCATGGTGACCTTGCGGATGGCAGGGGTCGCGGGAACTGCGGGGCAGCTTGAGGTGTCCACTTGCATGGCTTGAGTATGGCTGGCATCCATGTCGATGGCGTGGCCGTCTGCATATTCCATCTCGTCTGGAAATGGCGACTTGTGCTGGGGAAGCAGATCGTCGGAGCTGTCGGTCGCGTCGCTCAGCATGTAGACGCCAGAATCAAAGTTGCGATCGAGATTGCGGGAGAATTTTGGCTTCTTGACCTCTGGGCTATTGTGGGCAGACTCGCGATTGTCCCACCACGCGCCCTTGCGTTTGTTCTTGTGGATACGTGGGGATTCATAGTTTGTCACGTCGATGGATTCGCGCGAGTCGTCGCTGGAGAAGAGGGGAGGGGGCGAGCTCGACTTTGAAGTGAAAGCGTTGTGTTGGGGCTCGAAGAATGGCGGGCTCTGAGGGCTGATGCTACCCAAGTGCGGAGGTGATGACGGAGGAATGGCGTCGCTGTTCATGGTGGGATGGGGGTAAGGCGCTCAAGGGA